GACAGGAAACATTGCTTTGACTAAAACTTTTCATACACAAACGTAAAATTTGTAGAGCATATATGTACCGTGGCATGAATCTATGTGACAATATAGTGTCAATATTTGAGTCAAAAGTTAACAATTTGAATATGGAAATTATCACGCCTGTTTACAATGAATGAAACAGAAAAAAAGTATTATTAAAATGCATATGACAATTTCTTCCAAAGAAAACACACATACATGAAATGTACACGATTCCATTGCGCTGAACTAAATATTACGTAATTTTTCCCGAGCTCAAACAAACGTTTCGCATTTACTAAAGAATAAATGGTAATATTCGTCTTTGTTGTAAACGATTCATGTTTTTCGTCTTGCACTGCAAAACTGTCACACACAAGAACAACTATTATGTCACACACGTAGATAAGATGTCGTCCCGGAATGAATATAATGGGCAAACGGTGTTTGACTTTGTCGTTTAGTTAAAATATAAATCATTTTTTTTACCCATAATCGAATTGCTTCATCGAAAATTACTGGCAAATAATAAAAGCGAAAAACCCAGTGCTTATGAAATTGTGTCATTTGCAAGGTTTAGCACATAATAAAAGAACTGCATATAAACTAAGCCATAATTAAATCAACGAAAAAAACACACACACAATATGGATTTTCAGCAAATAGAATGAAAATAAAAAAATAAAAAAAGTGCCGAGAGAATATTTGAAAGAAAAAAAAACCCTAACAAACATACACGACACGGACAAAATGACAATCGAAAAACAAACAAACGAATGGCATTGTATGCGAATGGTGTACACACGGTATCTCTTCATAACGATAAAAACGGCTTTGCAAATGGCAAAACCATACAATAAATTTGTAACCAACATGAGCACATAATTATAATTGTTTAGCGTTGTAAAAATTCATAAATGCACCGCGCACACACACACACATTGAATTAGAAAGAACAGTGGAAATCAAAATAGAAACTGTGTCGAATGCATGGGAAATGTGCAAAATTCTCGCTCTATGTTTTCCGCTGTCATTTTTATTTACGATTGAAAATTGGCCACTTAACATTAAAGAGGCTGTGCTGAGTAACTAAGGTTGTGTGATTTGATGGCAAAATTTTCGTTCGAATTTGTTTTTTATTAGAACAATAAAAAGAGCGACGAAAATTAAAAATCGAGATCCGTATGCGGTCTTGAAAACATTGAGTAAATGTATGTATTTGCTTCGTCTTTAATTGATTTGGCTCAATTAGAGGAACACAAAATTAGATCTACAAATGTTTCTACATTGCACTTTCGAAGGGAATGAAGTTGTGCAATCAGGCTATAAATTCAAACCAAACAAAAACAAAAACTGTTTGTTACAATACAACAGCAAATTAAATATTAACTCACCTGCTGTTAGTGTGTGTGTGTGTGCGAGCACGTTTGCCACAGACGAGAGAATTGTTTTCGTTAAATTTTAATATGTACTTGAGCTTCTAATTCTATATCAGAAAAATTCTCATAAAAATTATTGTTGAGACAATGGTGTTCGTTCAAAGCGACCGTAAATTCGTAGATTGTGCATGTTCGTTATGGAACAAGGCAGAAAAAGTTCAAGAAACGTTACACACGGACCAAAAACAAAATACATCGCAAGCGAAGTAGGAGCTTGATGAGTGTGCACCCACTACAAAGAAGAGGCAAACGGAAAAACTTTGTCGATATAATTATCGAGCAAAAAGATAAATACAACGCGTTAATACGAACAAATTTGCATAAGTTTCAAGTTATTTAAGGTGCTTTTTAATTCTATTCATCGAGTGTGGCGCACTCGGTTTTTATGGTCGTTTTTGCGCTTGAACGTATTATTTTTTCTTTTCGTTATTTTAATAACATTTTTTTTTGTTTTATTTTAAAATGTATATTCTGTTCTTTTGGCCACCATTGTTCAATTTATCTGTTCTTTTGTTTCGATTTCTCTATTATATTTTTTTCTCTTGCTCTCGAATTAAAAAAAAATGTCGTTCACACAAACACAAAACGGGGATTTACCAGCTCGTTCACGATACGATTTATCACCTAACTGTGTGTGTTGTACGTACAAATGTAACTCATTTTCACAGGTGGTTAGCCGTTTTATACTCCCGCATATCGCGCGCTGTGTTGCTGGGGTGAATATTGATAAGTATGCGCGTCTCTTTTTTTTTTATAACCAATTCTCATTATATTTGATTCGGTAAACATGCACATGGCCAATTATGATTTTTATTTACACAACACCGATGAGCACATATGCATTCTTTTTGGGATTGTCGTTTTTTTTCTTTTGTCGGATCGCGTGAAAGGCTTGTTAATTGACAAATTGCAAATGATATCGAAGTGCCCGCATTTCCAAAATATATTGGCTCGAAATGTGTACTCTTTGACTTTTCCCTCTACTTCTTCTTGCGGCCATAAAATCACTTAGTTTCCCTTCGATATTAAATTGAATTTGAGCAAACATAAACTTGCAATGACTCATATTTAAGCTGGGCAACCACATGCAATATTCTGACGCGATAATGAATTTGATAAACTAATGTGATATGTGAATGAATCAAACAAGCATCGCTGATAACAACCAATATAGATTCGGTATGATTCGGTGATTAAAAAAAACACTTGATGAAAACTGACATCGCCGAAGTAATTCTTTTTTTATTCATTAAATTAAGATGTAATGTCGTGCATTTTTAAAGGATTTTCATTTTTGTGATTGATTTTGATGTGAAACGAAAAAATATGAATTGATTATATAAAGCCATATTCACACCGCGGTGGATTCAGTTGATATGAATTTGATTAATTTTTTTATCGAGTAATCCATATCGGTTTGGATACTGATATTGATTCGGTCGGTGCGACTATAAATTACTTTGTGAGTGCTAAAACCCAATCTAAATGATCGATATTATTATTTATTGCTTTTTGAGTTTGGTTTTTTTGATATACGCTTTTGATTTCATCACCAAAAATAATATTTATATCGCGCAAAGATTGAGCACCTGCAACTCAGCACTTTTATTAGTGCTACATAAATATTTGTCGACAAATTTGTTGTATATGTTGTCGATGTTTAATCATTCAACCGCCAAAGTATACATAAAATCTGGAATTGCCTTTTTCCCTCAATTAGAAACGCGAATTTCAGCGCATCGCTTAAAATATGTGATGACTGTTGATAAATATATACGTATACAAATAAGTCATGAAACTAATTGAATGCTAGTTTTTGTTTCAAATTAAATCATGAATTTTTATGAGATGAAATTTTTTTTGAAATTTTTCCAGTTGAAAAGGGCACAATATGCTGTTTTACACAAGTTCATTCGCGCACTTCCTGAAATTAATCAATGTTATTTTTTCTAACAAAGTCGACTTAAAACACATTTGATTCGAATTAATACTTGTTGTTACATGTTTCTTCAATTGATATTGATTCTATGTGTTTGGTTTTTCTTAATAATGACGATAGAAATTCCCAAGAGAAAAAAAAACAGAACAATGTTAACTAATACAAACAGGAATGAATGACAACGTGTTATACTTCTTCTATCGCAAATTGTGAATATTTTCAAATAACTTCAAACGATAAAAATTCGATTTGGAATTGCACGCTAGAATATTTGAACAATGGGCTCGTAAAATGCATTTTAAATGGCGATTTTTGCACTGAGAATTTTTTTTATCGCAATTTAGTACTATTATAGAAGTTTTTGTGACATGCATAATTCTTTACAACAATAAAATGAAAATTTATGGATTCGATTACTATTTTAATGGCAGTTTTAATGAATTTTTCAAAAGACTCTCTAGCTTTGACGAAATTACATTTTAAAATGGTATTTTTGCCAATGAGCCAAAATAATAGCTTTTTATAAAAAATTTCAATGAGAATCTGCCCATAAAAATGCATTACAAAATAACCATAAAGAAAAAAAGAAAAGGGAAAATGTGGATCTAAGCGTTGAAAATAACGGTCATAAGCAATGCGTTCAGTCACGATGGTTGTAAATGTGTATTCTCGGCTTTTTTCCCTCTTATCTTATCGATAGGTGTTGTTAAACAAATGTCTCGATAATAATATTATAATAAAAAATGGTTGACGCTCGGTGTGTTTAATTTAGCCCATCATTTGAAAAAGGTGTTGATGATACGTGCGTGTACGTATGTGTATTGTTCAAATACCGAATTCTATTTGGTTAAGAATGTCTGTTGCTTACATGTTTCATCATCATTTTTTCCATCGTTATTATCGTATAGTTTCCACGTATGTTTTTTACTTGTTACACACTGCGTACTTCTTTTTCAAATTTCGATTAGAACGCATTTGAATTCACTAAACAAATGGTTAAAACACGTTTTTCTTGGTAGATTTTTCTATCCCTCGAAATGGATAGAAATTATTATTTTCGCTTTGACATGTACATTCTGCTCTCAGCCAGACAACCGTGTCAATTCAATTGTGACTCAATTGCAAGATGTCAATAGCGATAACATATACCGAAAGGACGGATAAAAGCATTCTAGGTATTATTATTTTACCAGGCAAAAAAACGGATCATTTTCGATTAAGATTTTCTCGAAATGTGTTTGTCATCACCGGATATACCAAATAAATGACGTATGTTTATGTTTGATATCGAATTTTATCTTGTTAAATATAAAAAGGCTCATTTTGAAGACTGTAAAATAATGTATCTTATACCGATATTTTAAGATGTGTCTAAACAGGCGCGTGTCAATTGCTTAGCAAATATTTAAATCTTGTCTATTTTCACAAATGTTTTAAAGTTCAAAATCCGATTAACAATTTGCATGCATGGATTTGAACGCGATAAATATGAATAAAATTTTGAACATTTGGTTACATAACCCATTTTATGTGTGAATTTTCCGTCCGACTTTTCATTTTTTATGAATTTTTCGAAGAGAAATATTTCAAATTTTGCTAATTTTAGCTAAACTTACCGATTTCTGTGTCGATGATGCTGCACCTGCTGCATCGTTCCTTTGAGTTGGCGTTCCTTTAAGTTGTTCAAGCTCTTGTTGTAATTTTACAATCTAAAATACAATTAAGAATCAAATTACTTTCACTAAACCTTCATTCGTTACGTGTACTTTTCATCAAAGTGACGATGGCACTATTAATTTCATTTAAATGGTTTCTCTGAACGAATTTGGAATGTAAAAAAAAAAAACGATTATCACAATGAGATAAGAAATTCGTGTATCTATAAAATTTAAGGTGTAGTCGTTCTTTAAGTGAAACGGCATGCTTATCTCCAATGAATCTCTATGAAGATATGAAATGTTATTTCGTAAATGATAGCGTCCAATGATGATTTGTAAAAATGTCCGCTTTATTTGATCACCATTGTGTTCCGGTGTATATAAGAAAGTTCAAATATTATTTCGCAAAACAATGCAACCACACAAAAAAATAGTTTCGGCCTTATTTGAAAAAAAGAACCATATTTCCCCTTTTTTTGAGTGTTACTAACTCTAATTTGGATTCTATTTAACAACTGATATGAACTGTGTGTAAATTGTAAATAGTTTTACGGTCGGTAAATTTTAATTTTCTCTTTTTACATTCACTCCATTGTATTGTTGCTGGAAGGCATTTCAAGCCTTGTTCAAATCAATGAGCAAATTCGTTATCAGTAGGTTCCCATGATTCGCGTTTTTAATGCTTTCAACTCGCAACTTATTATCTATTATTATGGAAACGGAAAGTTGAATAGTACACACCGGTTGTCGAATCGTAAACGGAAAACCAAAATGACACTTACTTCATTATCCTTTGTTTCGCACAATGAATTTAATTCATCAATTTTCTTATTGGCTTCTTCAAGACCAACTAGAATTTCATCATCGATGCTGGGTTCTTTGGCGCTTGATTCACCAAGCTCACTGTTTGATGTTGATTCTTCTAGTATACCTTCGGTGAATACATCGTGCATTACATTTGAAACGTTTGATATTTGCCCTTTAAGGCTATTCAAACTATCGTTCACATTTATATTAAACCATGACATTTTGACCACAATTCTTTGCTACACATTCAAATTGATTGATTTTTTTGATTGTTCACAGAATTCTTGGAATCCCTTTTTTGGATCAATGCAAAAATAAATCGAACGCAATTTATCACCAAATCGTCATTTATTTGTTTCTCAAATATTTTCAACACTTTTTATACTTTCAATACATTAACCGTTCACATTTAGACGATAATACACATTTAAACAGTGGATTTTATGGATATTTCACTTGAAAATTTGAAAATATTGCATTAAGTTGAGTATTTTGCGTATAAAATGCAAAAATTTTAGCCAAATGTTTTGTTGGCAAGTTTATAAACAATTTGGGACAATTGAATGTTATCAAACGTCATTTGCACCACTTTGACAGTCAGAACTGTCAAAACTCAACACAGATACACTGTTAAATTCAACGCGGTTTGAGCGCATGAGAACTGTTTCGATTTTCGTTGGTTACTTATTTCAATTTTATTCGTACATTTTTTTGAAGTTTTTATGTATGATTGTTTCGATTTCATTTTATGGCAGTTTTCTTCGGTGAATTCAGCATTTCAATTTACAAGAGATATTACAAATACTTTGTTATTCTGAATCAAAGTAGCTGATTTCTATGTCCCAATCTTTCAAATGTCAGTGTTTTGTGACCATGTGAATGGTAATTTTTTGAGAAAGTGCTTTCCACTCAATCAGAAACAATGATTACCGTTGCCGATTCCATTGGAATAAAGCTCATATCGCCAGATTGCTTATTAACAGGTAAGACACATCAAATAGAAACACTATTCCATATAAAGATATAGCTATTCTTATTGGTTCGTTCGTGCTTTTTTAGGTGTCGGCAATGAATTGCATCAGTACCATTTGGATTCAAGCAATCAAACAATACATCGCCAAATCTGTCTAAATTTCCGAAGTAAAGTCTATGGAATCTCTTCATTCAACACAGAAAATAACACAAATGAGCAATTCGTAGTCGTGCATGGAGGACGAGAATTGGCTGTTTTTTACCTTAGTTCCGACAAGCATTTAAAACTCATTACAAGACTATGTCTCACTGATTGGATCAGTTCTATTCAAGTATACAAACCCACCTCCAATGATGAAGTTTCATTTTGTACTGTATCAGGTCATAGTGTCGCCAGTGAATTTACCGTGAATGTGGATGGCAAATGGAGTATTAAGCAGAAGGCTTCATGTACCGACAATTGTACGCTATACAGTTCATTGATTATTGGTGAGAATTGGTCTGAGACCACGATATTTGGCGGTACTGCATTTGGTGAATTGATTATTTGGAACGCAAGCGGAGACGGTGCATCGAGGGAAGTTCTTCATAGGTTAATCGGCCACAATGTAAGCTGATTTTTCACAAAGATATCATTTCCAATTATTATTTTTTAAATAACAAAAACATGAACTTTTTTCAGGGTGTCATCTTTTCGATCAATTGTTCTCTGTCGCAAAATCTCATCACAACCACGTCAGATGATCGTTCGGTGAAAATTTGGAAAATAAATTTCTCGTGCGATGTACCAAAAGACTGGAGCTCATGTTCAATTGAAGCAAAAAAGCAAATGTTCGGACACACATCACGTATTTTTAATCATAAAATCATCGAATACAACGAAAGAGTTTACATTATAACAGTTGGTGAAGATAGTAACATTTGTATTTGGTCCGATGATGGACGATTGATAAATCGAGAGCCGATCGTCAATTCGGTGTCACTTTGGAATTTGGACTACGATTCAAGTAGACAGTATTTGTTTGCATGTGGAAATGACGGAGACGTGCATCAAATCAATTTGATAAACGTGTTGAATGGGACCCAATTTTTGCGTGAAAATCTCGAAATCGATGACTTTTCCAATGGGGAACATATTAAAAAGTTGGTAATAATGCAAAGCGAGGCCACTGCTGTCGCAATGACAACCGAACAAAAGTTATTTTACGCCAAAATTGAAGAAAATCTGTCAAAAAGTTCGTGGCAATCCCTTCCGGTTGCTGAAACTGCATACAAAATCACCGTTTTAGAAGCGTACGGGTCGTTAGTTGCAACGGCTGGCTATGAATTTGTGACAATCTATCGACATCAAAATGGTCAATTCAAGAGAGTTTATCATGATAAACCACCATTGGCGGAGACTTCATCGTTTATGTGTTCATTACAATTTCTCAGCGAAACAGAGTTTGTCATTTGTGATGCACGAGGCAATGGTTGTCTTATAACCGTCGACGATACTTTCGGCATTGTCAAAGATCAACCATTTCAAATGCCACCGGGTAAAGAACGATGGATTACGGTGGCGGCACGTTTTGAAAATTACTTGGTCGTTGGCGATCGTCATGGAAATATGCACTTGTATGAAATCAATGACACATTGACATTAAAACACAGTTTATGGCATGTGCATGGTAATTTGGGTTGTAAATCGATTTTCCAAGCGACAACAAAAGGCCGACTGCAATTTGATTGTACCGGTCATCAGGGAAAAATGAAAACGATTGTAATCAATGACACCAAATCGGAATTGGAGCTGAAATCAACACACGACATACCAATTAAATGGTGTGATAAATCGTTGCACATTGATGAACATCGTAACACGTTATTGGCAGGTTTTAATGAACGTCATTTTATTGCATGGCGCAGTGACAATAGTTTTCGTTTTGAATTCGAAACGGGCGGCGGTCATCGTGCTTGGGATCTGTACATTGATAAACACACATCAAAAGCATATTTATTTTTTGTTCGAAGTAAATTGTTGAATTGTGTTCAATTTTTGCTGCACGACAGTACGCTGCATCCATTTAAATTGCCGAAAAACAATTGGCATTCACGTCCTTGTAACACTATGCGCATCATTGAATTAAACCATGATCGGTTTTTAATCGCTTCCGGTGAGGCACATCAAATAGAAATATTATTCAATATAAATATAGCTATTCTTACTGCTTTGTTTGTGCTTTTCAGGTGGCGATGATAATCTGCTGAAATTCAGTGAAATTAACATGGTTGAATCGAATAATCGTCAGGTGTTGCAACATAAATTCGATATGGTGCTGCACATTTCAAATATTAGATCCATTTTTTCGCTTCGAACAGACCGATCGAGCGATAAAGAAAATTGGCTATGTTTTTCGGCCGGAGGTCGGGCACAAATTTGCGTGACGGAAGTGAAAATAGATCAACATCGAAACGTGCAATTTCATGAAATCTGCGATTTTATGCTTAGATCGAGTGATTTGGAGCGCAAACGCACGAAACAAACACAAATCATTTATTTTGATCCTGAAACTAGATTCATGAATTTGGTAGCCTATTACAAAGAAAATGAAATCAATATTGTGGTGGGATGCTCTGACGGGTATATTCGAACGTTTAAGTATGGAAAAGGATCGATTTCACTGGACACATCATCATTTTATGGACGATGCATTCTACATGTTTACCACTTTCAGTATAATGACCATCATTATTTGATCACTATGGCAACCGATGGCTTAATTGTGTTTTGGACATTAGACAAATTTAACGAAGATTCAAAACCATTTTTCAATATTCAACATCATGATAGCGGAATTAATTCGTTTGATATTTTCATAGAAGCAAATCGAATGTTTGTGGCAACCGGAGGTGATGATCAGGGCATTGTGATTTCGATTCTTCAACTTAAAGCAAAACCAAATAATGAAATATCAATTTCAATTGTGAAAACAGTCAAGTTCCCATACAATCACACCGCACAAGTGAATGGTGTGAAATTTTCAGCGGACAAAAAATACCTATATTCGGCGAGTGTAGATCAAACCATTATGAAAATCGATTTAAGCGATTTTTCCATAGGACAAGCGAGTTATTCATGTATTTCAGATGCAAAAGGATTGCAAATCATTGATTTGAATCACATTTTAATTTACGGCTGTGGAATGCAAGTACTGAAAGTTTAAACAATTCCATTTTGTAGAGAAATATAAATTCCAATCAAAGTAACCAATATTCAAATATAATTTGAAGAAGAAGAAGAAAAAGAACGGTAGTCAAAAAACGGCTGAAAAATGTAAAAACTATGACCAAAATGTTGAAAATGTAGAATTTCTGTAAACATTGCATTAAGTGAATAATATAACTCAAAATTAATTTTGTAAAATTTGTTGCATAAAATTTTGATTTTGTCTTTATTGAATAATCTTTGGAACGTGAGCTTAAACAACTACATCAGGTGCACTTTGAAAAGGTCTCAAAATAGCATTTAAAAAAGTCTTCCAAAATATTTCGCTTTCGGTGAAAAGCTGACTAGCTGTGGCCATTGAACGACAAACGAGTCAGCAATCCAAACTAAAATCTTGCCACTCAACGAAACAGTTTTAACGCGACAATAACTTTCGATGAAAACAATTTTACATTGAACATTAATGGCACAGAAAATTTTCATCGCGAATGCAATCAAACAGATGGGAACGCAAGTGCCTGAAATGACCGGGAAAAAAATCCAAATTATATTGACTTATTTTGTTTATATTAGATTTGAACAGGTGTACCGGGTCCGTTGCATAGAATCAAATCGGGTTGTAGATGATAGACCAATGGTATACACTGCCAAACAGAGCGAATTGTTGTAAACACCGACGTCAAATAGCTTTGTCCGACGTGGCGACTTCGTTTTATACGAAATAATTCGTAGTCATTTTTCGACGTGGTTGGCTCTTCATGATTCAATACTTTCGATTCGCTGGTTGAATCGGTGCTGGCCATAATATAATATCGTGGTGAATAGTTTTTCTTGTTCAGTTGTTTGACAATCGTCATCATTTCAGCTGTATGACCCCCAGAACCAAGTACAATCAATGTTCTTGCTGGTTTTCTCCTTCTTGTATTCACGCCCGGCACAATATTCGTTAAATAATAATATCGAATGGCAAGCAAGAATACGGCCGCCTTAAGAAATAAAACAAACCATAAAAACATTTTCGTTTGTGGCTATTTTGTTATTTTCTTCTGCACCACAAAAAGAGAAGAAAGCGTCAAAATATTTTGAGGTTATGTACACCAATATATATACCATTGAATTTGTTTTGATATTGAAACAGATGTTTTGACAAACATTTGCAGCTGAAATTACGTACGTGTAAGCAGTTAACGTCGCCACCACCATACTTACGAAGTGTCAGATATTTCGAAAGCAAAGCGCTAGAAGAGACATTTCAAACAGCAACCAACACAGAACATGTACGAACAAGAGCGAAAACGAGACAGAGCGAGATGAAAATAAAAAATGAAAGACTAATTGTACAATAGTCGTGCTTCATAATGTATTTTGACGCATGCGAAAGTGAAAATTTATACGAATAAGACGTGATTATAAATAGCACTCACATTAAAAAAACGAAGAAAATCTTTTTTGCAATTTTTTATTTTTGAATAATATTTTCATAAAGACACCAACCAAAAAAATTCGGCTTCGATGAAATTATTGGTCCTTTAATTTCGTTTTATTTTCATTCGGAGTTTTTGTGTGAATTTGGTAAATTCCATAAAATCGATTTGGTTTCTACATTGTTTTTTTTTTCTCTTTTGTTGTGTGTTCGATCGAAGAAGGGAAAAACAAAATAGAGAAAGTTTGAATTCCAGTGCACCCAAAGTAAGTGAAATAGATATACACATGTATTATGATATTGTTGGTAATTTTGACGAAAGAAATTTGAGATAAAAATAAAGATTACGCAAAAACAAAATAAACAAATATTCGCTTATGAAAAGTACTCATAGTTGAAAATCAGTGACGTTTTCACATATATATCACACGAACAGGGAATAAAGGGGCCTTAAATACCGAAACACCAGAATACGAACGAAATATTTTGCTCATATCAATTGTTTTAGTTTTTAATGTGTACGTGCATTTATTTCGATTACGGATTTCGATTGAATTGTGAGATAATCGACTCATTTTAAGGGAAAAATTCATTTGTATTTTTGTGCTATTGTTGTTATTGTGAACGAGTGGCAAATTGGTAAATGTACAAAACGAGAAATGTAATTGTGTGACTGTGTGTAAATATGATAATTTTCAATATGTATATAAGAAATCGTGTGTCATTTTAACATTATCGGAGCGCAAGAGACGATTGCATTACAATCACATAGAAATTCGTACGAAAAAAAAATAAATGTGTGTTTGATTATATCGACTCCATTTTTTTAAATGTCATCGTAAGAAGAAGAAGAAAAGCAAAAAAAGGTCGTTTCATTATTTAATACCATTTGTATCGGTAATTTTCTTCGCTGTGCATTCAATTTTCGATGTCATGACAATAAATATCATTACAGTTATTGCACTGTCTTGTGCATTTTCTACTATATTGTTGGTGTGCGGTTTGTGTGTGACTCAGACATCGAACCTGCATCTGAGTAAAACAAAGCAAGCGTTTGTTGTATTGTACATTTCAAACAAATGACAATATTTTTTCATACATTTTTGTTATTTTCACGGTGTGTTTGCAACAATTTTATTCGCACCTATTGAAGAAAAGAAAAACGTAAATCGAAGCGAATTTCGTTTTTAAATACATTTCCTCATAATTAGTTTCATATTTGCATTGCCATATTTTGTTCTATCCTTTGTATATCCGCATTTTGATGACGTTTGTTGTGGATCGCTTTTGCATTTAATACAGCCCGAAAGATAGACAGTGTGTACGACGAACTGCGATTCTCCCGATTTAATTAACTGAAAATAAACATAACAAACGGCAATGACAACAGACAAACATTTTTTTTTATTTTAAATTCCCGTGAAACAAAGAACCGAATGAACTCAATGTTTATCAAAGTATAGGAAGCACGTAAATGTTTTTTATTTTAAATATAAATTGTGTGTGAGTGTAATTTTTGATTGCCAAACGACTCGAATAAGAAGGGAAATAAATCGCTGGCAAGCGATTGAGTCGCAGTTGAAATGTGATTGTTGAGGTTCAACACAAACATAAATCGAAACAAATGTACATCGAGACGTAAACAATTGAATCATCGCAAGTGTATTCATTGCACATCGTAACGGTGTAATTATATCGAAACGATTTAACATTGCAAAACGATTCGTTCGACCAATGTCAAGTTTGATCAAACCTGAATTCTCAGATGATCGAACTTGAATTTATCAAGCAAAAATGTTTTATTTTAGTAAACGAACATAAAGATAGACTTTAAGTTAGTTTGCACTCAATCAAATGGGTATTTCTTTCCCATATTCCACTTTCCATACTGCAATGGATCGGTATCCAGTGGAAAATGAAAAACAATCAATATCATAAAAAGTTCCATCAGTCAAATAACAATCGAATGCAGATATATATATATACATTCCCTTCATCAACGGCGGGCCTTGGATCCTGCACAAAAGCGAGGTTATGCAATAACAAACGAAAACTATATCTATCTAACTATATGTATAGCATATATAAGTTTTGGGATTTTGTTATTGTCGCTATGTTTCGTACACATGTTTACGGCTTGTTAAATGCATGTTTGAACTAAGAATAAAAAAAGTCATTCGCCGACACACTCAATCGTCTCTAATTATGTTCTGACTAAGCAAAAGTTGTTTGTGTTTTTCTTTATTGCGCTCGCTGCACTGCGACTCAGCCCACCAGTCAGTATACATAATATATTCAATATAAATTCTTGCAAACTAATAATGCATCGTCTGTATGCAATTTTTCATTCAATTTATCAATTGATTGAGCTCACTTTCATTGCGGCCACTATGTGCAAGAAATTGTGTGCGGATCGTGCATTGTTGTGGGGCTTTTTTTTGTGAGTGCTCTTGAACCGTTCAATTGCATATTGTGTGACGTGTTTTCCGTGTTTGTTTAGCAATGTTTAGAACGTTGAAATGGATTGTATATTCATTAAAGTTTCAGCAATTTTCGCATGAATTTAATATTCTTTGTTTGTTTGAGTTGTTGTTGTGCGCGTTTATGTCGCAACTGTACTGTGTCGTGCTTGCTTCTTTTTGAGCGTGTATTTATAGTTATGCCTTTTTTTCGATGGAGCCATCATTTAGACACAATACAGAGTCGCTCTTATTTCGCCTCTAGTGTGCTGTCGTGAATCTTTGATACATCGTTACACGAATATGATTTTCATTTCAATGAATATGTGAACGATTTTTTATCGTTTCTCATATTCACACGCAATCGGAAAACTGTTGTAACTTGTCGAAACTAATGCGTTTTTATTTTATTTTTCTAGTACGTTGACAATTTGGTAGCGATAAGGAAGGAGCACATTAAGATCTAATTCGGTGAAATTCATACAGAGCCAAAATGATCGATTTAGACGATTTAGATGGTGATCAACAACAGTCGACGAGTGAATTACCGAAGAAACCGCTAAAGGAATGGCGAAGCAAATTCGAATCGGGCAGCTTGGTGTCGTCAAATTTAATGCAGTTTTTTCAAGCCGCATCTCCATTCTTCTTCACGATCGATTTAACAGCTGAATACACAGATTTGGGTAAGTAAAACAAAAAACATTTGGATGGATATTTTAAAATTTAAATTATTTTTGGTGGAATTAAAAATGCTGAGTCAAATTTTGTGACCAATTGAGATCAAAATATACATCTGTTTTCAAGTTATATAAAAGAAATGCGCATTTATTTTGCATAGCTATCGCTGAAAATGGCTTGTGTAAATCAAAATACTTTCCGTAAAAATTAAACAGCCATAAAAGGTTATAAATATATTACAAACAAGTTGCCCGCAGTTTGGTTTACTTTTTCAAAATTAGGATTCGTAATATGTATAAAAAACAAATATAGGCCTATTTGACTCTCATTCAAATCTGAGGAAAAAAACAGCGCAAAAGATGTCGTATGACAAATATTAACTGTGAATGATTCAGTCATTCAGTATGGTACAAAAATACCCAAACGGAATATTTTCATACGCAATAAATGTGACCGATGATTCGGTGTCTTTATCTTACAATTGAATATATATTAAGCAATGACCTCATATGAAACTTTTCATTTAAAAGACGACTGTTTTGACTTTACATTTTTAAAAGACATGAATTTGGTTCTAATGCCGTTTGATTTCTTTTACAGCGAGATGTAGCTACGATGAACAAGGTGCAAAGAATGCAATAATCGATGTGCTAGAAGAGTTTATATTCGGTGATAATCCAGAAACGGTGCTAGCCAAAATCCGTAGCGAAGAAAATGCGTCAACGGTATGCGGTCGAGTGTTCAAAATGAACGAACCATTCTACAGTTGTCGTGAATGTGGCATGGATCCAACATGTGTGCTATGCGTTAATTGCTTTAAACAATCGGCACATCGTCATCACAAATACAAGATGGGCACATCGGCCGGTGGTGGATGCTGTGATTGTGGTGATAATGAAGCATGGAAACAAGATCACTACTGTGATGAACACACAGTAAGTGAATTTTTGAACTCAGTTTTTTGCTTATCTTAATTTTTTGTTTTACATTGACCTCTAATTTGTCGATTTGAATTTATTTCATTTCAGAAGGGAAGCGAAAAAATATTACAAAGTAACCTTATAACTGAACGGATGCGAGATCGTTGCATGATTGTATTCGACGCAATTTTGAATTATTGCGTGCGATCATTGAAGATCGAAGCGAATGGAAGTATCAAAAATATGGATACACAAGATGAAGATGTTTATTGTACCGTATTATACAATGATGAAACACATACATTTGATCAAGTGATTAATACACTAACCCGAATCGTTGGATGGCAACAAAAAGATGCCGTTGAATATGTGTCGACGATTGATCGTGAAGGTCGAGCCGTTGTAAAATGTTCCACATTTCAGTCGTGCATAAAATTGAAAAATGATATTGAAAATCAAGCACTTCGATCAACGATAGCACTCAAACCAACCACATTGAAAGTGGCCGTACTCCATAAGAACGATGTCGCCTATCAGCAATTTTCATTGCAACTGTTGGCCTGGTTTCAAGAATTTCTGACGCGTCATGCCGTATTCCGGTTTTTATTTTGTGAAATACTAAAACAAAGCACTGACTATAGTCTTCGTGAAATTTTGACAAATGATGCAATGCTGTGGAAAACCGCCCGAACCAGTTGGCACCACCTCTTAATATCTGGCATGCTGATGGAATATGAGAATAAGAAAACACTTGCCGTCATGTTTACACGCCAGTACACACGAGTTATGCAGGATTTCATTTGTCACGATGATCACGATCATTCGTTTTCAATTGTATCGATGAGCGTCCAATTGTTTACGGTACCATCAATAGCACAACATCTAATTGCCAACGAAGATGCATTCTATAAGCTGATGTACACATTTTATTCGGAATCAATAGAAAAATATGTGAAAAAGAAGGTGCTGCAATTCACACGAAATGCCGGCAACATGAATATTTTCAAACGATCAGCGTACATTTTGTACGACATTAAGTATATTTTGAGCTTTAAACCGAGCATTTGGACCGATGAATTGCGTCAAAATTTCTTGCACGGTGTTCAAATGTTGATTCGGTTATTGCGTGAAATGCAAGGCATGGACAGTGTATACCGTCAAACTGGACAGCATATGGAGTATGAGCCAGAATGGGAGTCTGCATTCAATTTACACATCAAATTGGCACCGGTGATTTCTTTGGTGCTCGATTGGTGTAGTTCAGATCGCATTGTTCTGATCAAAGTCTATCGCATGGTGATGAGTGCATTGAGCGATACCGATTTTATTGTATCGCAAACGTCAACGGAAATCAAAGAATTGGCCGATCACAGTGTATGGTGTTTGATGTATGATGTTGGCTCAAAACCGGTTTCAATTCATTTACCATTATCACGATTTTTTGCCGGCTTATATTTGCATTTGGAGAAATTCAATTTGACCTTCGACACTGTTCAAGCGAAGAAAATAAAATCAGATCAAACGATTACGATGATTGAGCCGAGACCAGATCAAATTATCGAACCAGTTCTTTGTACCTTAACAATGGTCGCTCAAGTGCATGCCGGAATGTGGCGCCGAAATGGTTACTCACTATTGAACCAATTGTATTTCTATCGTAATGTTAAGTGCCGCGCTGAAATGCTGGACCGTGACATTGTTGCTCTACAGATTGGCGCTTCGCTTATCGAAAGTGACGATTTCTTGATTCACATCATTAACAAATTCAATTTGGTCAATTGGGCCAGTCCTGACTATGAAGCTACATCACTTCAGAATCCCGAAGAGGATAGCATTCGTCAAGTTATTAATATGGTCGATGAATTGCTTGAATTGATTATTGTGGTTGTCGGTGAACGTCATGTTCCAGGTAATTAAAACTTTTATTGAATTAACACTAGCTTTTGTTTAAATTTGATTTTTTTTTTTTACCAGGCGTTGGTATGGTCACCGAAGAAGATAAAATCAAAAAGGAAATCATTCAATATCTTTGCATTAAACCATATTCACATTCTGAACTGAGCCGAACACTGCCCGATTGCGGAAACGAAGACGGCATCGAAAAAATCATTGAAAGTGTTGCCGAATTCAAAAAATCCAGGCAAACCGATAAAATGGGCGTCTATGAATTGAAACCACAATTCTTTGAAGATTACAATATGTACTTTTATCACTATACAAAAGAAGAGAAAAGCAAATCAGAAGAAGAACAACGGAAACGACGAAGAGATAAAAAAGAATTGGTTTGCACTCCGCCACCAAAACTCCCACAACTCACACCACTATTTAGGTAAGATTTGAGATGATTGAAACAACAACAACCAAATTACGCATATTTTTTACATCTGAATTTCAACAAATTCTCAAATGATTAATTTAAATGGTATTTCCAGTATGTTGGCGAATTTACTTCAATGCGATGTCATGCTGTTGATTATGCACACGGTTTTAAAACGTGCCATCGACTTAAAAGCAAGAAGCTTCTCGGAGAGCCATTTGCAAAAGGTCAGTATTTTAAGTAGTTGGAAAGATTCCAAGTAACCGAGATCGATAATTTACTATTTGAAGTTAGAAAACATGTCACACCGGAAGTTCACTGCCAATATTCATATACAAAATAAAACAAATTTCCAATCGAATTTCAGGTGCTTCATCTTATTGGTTATGCGGTACAAGAGCAAGAATGTGGTGCATACCCATTCTTTACGTTCCACGAACGTGCAGCTAAATGGGACATCTTACCTTTGATGGAAGAACTAATCAACAGCCCAAGGGTATTTTACTTCTACTTTTTTTTTTAAATAAACATAAATTAAAATCGAAACGTTTTTTTAAACCCCATTTAGGTTGAAGCTCACCGTGATCTAATCTTATGGACGGTCCGTCGCTACAAAACGTTGCAACAATCTGAAAATCAAGCGATGGAAAGTGATGAAAATGCCACATGCAGTGATGTTCAAGCGAGCACCAGTGGAAAAAGTGCTGCCGATATTGAAAAAGCCGAAAAAGAGGATCGTGCCCGATTGGCGGCCGAACGTCGTGCAAAAATAATGGCACAAATGGCATGCGCTCAAAAGAATTTCATGTCATCAAATGCTGAATTGTTTGAATCTACAACAACATCAGCGCAGGATAAAAGTGAAAATTCAATGGAATGGCAAGATAACAATGAAAATAACACCAAGCAAATTTGTTTGGGCGCAGATCGAAAGCATAATTACGTCGAAGATTTGGTGGTGACATGTATTCTATGTTCAGAAGATGCGGTTGTGAATAAATCAACAGGTCCGTGCATGGTGTATTCGTCGTTTGTACAGAAATCGCATGTTTTGTTACCGCTCGATACGATGTCATATCCGCATACAAGCTCATGTGGTCATGTAATGCATGCCAGTTGCTGGAAAGAGTATTTCAATAATGAAGTGTTGAAAGAGAATCGTCGACCAATCCGAAATCGACAGACCGGCATGACAACCGATAAAAAGGAGTTCTTATGCCCATTGTGCAGATGTTTAAGTAACGCTGTCATACCAATTTCACCGGCTTTGTCGCGCATTATACCAAACCTACAACAACCAAGCGTAGACGGCAGTCCACAGGGGAGCGATGACATTGAACCAATGCCATTTGATAAATGGCTGTATTTCATGCAAAATTATAATGGTGCTTTACAATTAATCGTCGATTTACCAATTGGAGATGATATTGTGACAAAACTTCCCGACCTGGAATCGATTGTTCGAGAATTCACAAGCATTGAGGCATTTGTAAAACTTGCACCACCGACAACACGCGAACTCTTGCCACCCGAATTGCTCGAGTATGTGAATGAATTTGCCTCATCGGCAAAACGAGCCGCTCCATATTCACATGCCGACGAAGTAGCCGAATCACATTTGGTCACTTGGATATCATGCTCGTACACAATTCAAACGCTGGAAATGTACTTGCGTGCATTAAACAAACCGATGAAGGGACAAATGTCGATTCGACAAACGAGCTGCTTGTCTGGACTGATTCGTGAAAGTGGATTGCTTGTAACAACAATCACCGATGACATTGCCGCTAAATTACTGGTTTTGTTGCGCAGTCAATTATCAACACTGTTCACAAATAGCAGCAGTTGTTTCATCGAATGGGATCTATTCCGAATGTTAATTACATTCATTTTTATCACACCATCGGTGTTGTATGCACGCACCCGACAATGCATTGTTCCGAATGGCACATTGCTTGAACATTATTTGCTTAAAACAATTTTCTTGGCGCTAATCACAAAGATTTTGGTCTTGCACAATATTGACGAAAGTGCAAAATCCGAAGAAAGCACCATGACCGGCTCATTGTATATGGATGTTGATGAGAATGCTACGCTTTCAAATCCAATTGAATCATCGGAAGATACACAAACTCCAAGCGACGGAGATGGTAGCAGCAATTCCGATGTGCTGATCGAGTTTTATAATAATCATAATTTCTATGTGATTGATGCTCGTGATGCTGGCGTTGCACCGCCTGCTGCACATAAAACACAAAAACAACTAAAAGAACTGGTTATGAAAGCGATTCGTGATGAAAGCCGCATATTTTTACGGTGCGCATGTTTGCTATTCCAACATTTGACCGATGTTGATCTACCCGACGAACTGTACGATTCGGATGGTGATCGGTTTGAAGTGATGTGTGAATACTTGGGCTTAAGCAGCGACATCGAAACTTATCTGAAATGTGATAGTATCAATTCATTCATGAGCAATTTAGCAATGCATCCCGATATTGAAATGTTCCGGACAAAGCAACGTGCTGAATTGAAAACCGTTTTAGTACCATGCGTACCAACCGTACGGAAATTGGTCGATTTACCCGTTGATTACAGTGATTTAATCAATACAGTGCTAACATTTTCGTGTCCAAATAACGATCGCGATGAATCGTCGCGAAATCCAACAATGTGTTTGGCATGCGGTGTTACTCTTTGCTCAATGACCTATTGTTGTCAATATGAAATCGAAGGTGCAACGGTTGGTGCATGTACATACCATGCACATGAATGCGGTGCTGGTGTTGGAATATTCTTGCGAATCCGAGAATGTGACATACTGCTGTTGGGCGTGAACAAAGGTTCATTCGTGTCTCCGCCATATCTGGATAAGTACGGTGAAACCGATCAAGGTCTTCGACGTGGTAACCCCCTGAAATTGTGCCCAGAACGTTATCAAAAGCTTAATTTAATGTGGCTCAATCATGGACTTCACGAAGACATTGCACGAAGCGCTGAATCCATCAACAATGTCATCCCAACGCAATGGCAACATTTGTAGTTATCGTTGTTCTTTGTGATGCAAATAAAAAGTTAATAAAAACCTAATAAACTTGCAAATAAAAATAATTACAATGAAAAAAGCTAGATGAAGAAATATCTTAGGGAAAAAAACACAGAGAAATATAAGAAAGACTGCGGTCATTACTGTAAAAAGTAAAAAGTTAAAGGGAAATCATGTTTTCTAAAGAGAGGAATAATGAAATAAAATGAATAGTAATATATAAAGTAAATCTCAACGTTCACATTTTGGCAACAGTTGCACAAACACAAAAAAACAACCCAAACAAAAAAACATCCAACTAACTAAGACTCGATGCATTTTTTCATCGCAGCTATAGGAAACTTACGTGTTCTATAAGATTTTTTTTATTTCTTTATTTTTTTTTATTTTGATCTTATTATTAATTGTGTATTATTTTGAGATTTATTTCGTTCCTCTTTAACACTTTATATTTAAGATCCGGATGAAATGTACGATTCAATCCAAAATTAAAAAAAGAATCACTGTAAAATCCAAAAAACCCTCTTTTTTCTTCTATTAACTTTGAGGTATTTAATGTTTTCATATGAAACATGCGTTAAAGCGGCCAAAAGTAGCATATATAAATCAATGTTTACTAAATGTTTACTAAAAAAATCTAAAGAACAATGAAAAAAATGAAAAAAGAAATTCTAGAAATTGTAAGTCGATTGGCCTATGGCACAAGCTAATACGTTGTTTTGTACATTTCTTTTTATCGAGCTCCATATATATAAAGAAACAAATATATATTAAAATCGTTTTTTTTTTTTTTGAAATGTCTTATTAAGGGTCTTCTTCATTATTTTTAACGATAAGTCTGCGTGCTCTGTCTGAATGAAGAAAATTTTGGCCAAACCCTCTCTAAACGTATATATGGACAAAATAAAATCAATAAATGATTTAGATAAATTAGATGAAATTTAGCGAATTCAAATCCTTTGTTTCGAATTTAAACAAAAATAAAAATAAATCAACTTTAATATTTGTTGTAAGACACACACTGCAAACAAAAGCTTTTTTGATATATATAAAACACAATAACCCCTGAACATTTCTCTCTCTAGAACGGCATATGGCCATGAAACACACACGAGTTTTTTTCATTGGGTGCAATCATTCGTTTGTACGAATCTGTGTTTGATTGCTCTCGATTGATGTAGCTAAAAAGAAACCAAAAATATTGTCGTGTGAACTAAATATTATAGCATTGCATTCGGATGAAAAGAAAATAAAACCAAATCAGTTCTATTAGAATTGTTGAATTCTTGTAAATTACAATTTTTAACAATAATTAAAATAAATTTCCACTTTATTGTGTAGACACTTGAATCTTGAATTATTACAATTGAAACAAACAACCGAATAAACAGAAAATTTAAGAAATCTTAAAAAATCATGACTCTATTTTATTTTATCCACCAAATGAATACTGAATTTCAGGTTGGAGAAATAGAAAACTGGAATCAACCGTATTCGAAGACTAACAGCAAAGGCTAGCGGTATTTTCGCGTAAACCAATAATAAGACGGAAAAATACACACTTATATTATCGAATAACAAACATTTATTTTCTTACATTTTTTCTTTCAATAAAAATAAAACATATTTCCGATTGTAAATTTTGAATCCAAATCACAAATAACATGTGCATTGCTTAAGTCCATTCCATTTGATGAGAGATGTTACCTTTCTGGTCTAAAAAATATCCAAGTAACCCAACTAATTTCCAATGCTAAATAAATTTTATTCTTTCTTTTGAAATTTGGCCTTCTGATCGTCGTAGATTTGCTTGAGTTGTGTACGATTTGGAACTGGTCGAATGTATCCCCACTGAGAAAGGTATTTAATTGCTAAAGTGGTGCCGCCAAGCGTGACTGTATACCGAATTGGTGTTGCGATTTTATAGCATAAGTATGCGATGGCAACATGGCCGAGAGACGAGTCTCTAAGATTTGCAATCGCCGTTTCACTGAAGTGTAACGATTCCAACATTGATGGGATATCTACGCCACTGTAATTAGAAACAAATTCAATAACAACAATCAGAGAGAGGTCATGAAATGATTATTAAATGTTTATCGTTTAATGTGCAATTACCTCGATGATAGATAGTAGAAACTTCCAAACCAAAAGCAAGATGTGACACAATGGACGGGCAGCAAAACGTACCAATACTCTTTGTACATCTTTTTGAATCGAGCCATCAATGATAGTTTCTCTTCAGTTTGTGGAACTGTTTCTGTTTTATCGGCAACATTATCAGTCTGGTTTTCACCATGCGGTTGATTTTCTACCTTGTCATCGACGATCGATTTTTCTATCTTTTTCTTTTGTGGTTTTTCGTCCTCACCATGGTCGGGAGATTTTGGATTCAGTGCAGTCTGACTATTGTGAGGTAAAGATGTGGAGAAGTGTCGATATTCAAACGTACTAAATGTGTTACTTAAATTCCACTGTTTAAAATCGATTGTGAATAAGTGTTGCTGTGATCGCCGTGGCCATGGCGTACTATAATTTCTGTTTGCTGGGTAATTGCAGAGAATACGACTTGTGCTCGGATGAACAATTACGTCTTTAGCACACCATGAATAACCATACTTAAATAAACTTCTCACTGTTGATGTATTCATCGTACGTCCGCTTATTTATTTGAATCGAATTTATGGATTTATGTTTTTGTGTAGCTACTTTTACGCTTCACCTATTGTGTATTCATTTTTAACCAAATAAATTCGAAATGTTAAATTATTCATCGACCCCAAACAAGATGAATGGAAAAGTTTCTATCGCAAACTATTACGAGACATGTTTGTATTTTCTTGACAGTGTGTGATGGCATGTGAAGAAGATATCAACCTTCAAACTCTTCATTGTGGTTATGTGAGAATATGTTGAACACGAAACCAACTTCATGGCATACAATCAAATAGCTCAACAAACAACGTTCGTTGACAGTTCCATCACACAGAAGAATCGAGTCTTGTTTATAACAAAAGGCGGTACGTTTTGACAAGTTACATTTTTCTTATTTAAATATTTCCAAATGAAAAGAAACAAAGTAGCATTTACAAATTGGTTACAATTTCTTGCATAATTATAGAAACTAGTGTGAAGTCAAACAAAGTATTCTCTATAATGGTTTTTCGTACGTTGTTCTCATTTTAGGTTAGGTTTGAACTTGAAATACGGTATTTCATCACAAAATTCATCGGTCACTCGATTCGTAATGGATTTTAATGCGCTTCTACAAGAAGCTCAAAAGCTAACCAACGAAACAAATGCATCGGACTTACTGCCCAGAGTGGAACGATCGTTGCCACAAGTCCTACAGGCCACGCGTGAACTACATTCGCGCGTCACACAAACAGAAGCTCAAGATATTCAAGCGTAAGTTTTACAATACTTTTCGGATATTTTAAAACCGATGAAAAAAAAAACTCAACGTTTGTTTTCTTTAAAAAAAATTCCAGTCACATTTTACTCGGTTCAAAAGGAATTGAACTCCCAAAAATCTCACAGAAGCTTGAATCGTTGAGCGCCCGCAAAACATTCGAACCACTCGAACCGATATCGGACACAGACGTTCAGGGTTTTTTGCGTAATGAAAAAGAGACAGCAATCCTGTCGGTTATTGAAGAAGTGCACAAAAATTCGTATTTGTCTGCACAAAACCAAAAATGGGAGCACATTCTCAGCGATTGGAAGCAGGAAAAAATCAAATTGATGAACGCATTGATTGGACCATCACAGAATTGGATCGAATTGGTGCGTAAAGGGCCCGAACAAACCGTTTTGAATGAAAGCATCGCACGCGGAAAATCAAATTTGAACAATCAAGAAATGGCGTATGCATGCGAGGTGTATGAATACAATAAATTGGTGATTGCCGGTGGATTACGCCCGAATTTAGTGGAGAAATTTTCGAAGATTGCCACACAATTCAATGACACGGTGAGATCAACCCATACAAATTATGTTGTTAAAATACTAAATAGGAAAGTGTGTTTTTTATTTTCATTTTTAGAAAGTCAATGAAATCTGGGAAATTATTACATACATGACAAATGTGACACCACTGCCCAAGACACAAGACCCATTCAAAACACGGAATACAAAATTCGAATTTGTGGCTCAGGCGAAAAAATACTTGGAGTACAGATACAAATTATTTATGCAAACATATATAGCCGATCGCTTGCCGGACGCACAACGCGGTGGAATACCCAGCGTTTTCAATTTGGTCAGCTCGTTCGTGGCATTGAACTTCAACAGTCAAACTGGTAACACAATTGGTCTTGAAGGTCACATTGACGGTAAACCACTTTGGCCAATGGTATACTATTCGTTGCGATGCGGAAATATACAGTCAGCTTTGAAGTGTCTGCAACAAGCTGGGTAATTTCAGCCTCTGATCATGTATTGGGAGTTAAAAAATGTTTTAATTAAATTCTTTTCGTCCTAGTTTGGGCCACGAAGATTTGGTGCAGGTGTTGGAAGAAAAAGCACGCAAGCCAAATCAACGGATCAGCGCAAAATTGGAAGCTCAAATAAAAATGCAGTACAAACGGAAGATTCAAAATGAGACCGACATGTATAAGTGTGCTGTTTATGGTATTATCGGTTGTTGTGATGTTCCGGATCATGCAAAAGTTGCCAAAACTACCGACGATTTTCTATGGATTCAGTTATCCATGATTCAACCAGATGACAATGGAAATATGAGTAACACAGATGATCTTGGCTCCGATTCGCCGACTTATTCTGCTCTGCAGTCGATGATTCTTGAGAAATACGGCGAAAAATATTTTAACGCCAACGAACAACCACATTTGTATTTCCAAGTAAGACGCTATCAAGTCAATTATTTCAATAACATTCAATTTACTAAAATTGTGAATTTTCTTCTAGGTTTTGGCATTAACGGGTCAATTTGAACCGGCTATCGAATTTCTATCGCGTTTTGAACGCTATCGTACACATGCCGTTCATATTGCTTTGGCTCTAAATGAAATGTTCCTCTTGGGATTACCGCGAAATATCCAACAACCATTGTTGTCCATCGATATCGATGATGCGGCGCCATTGCGTCGATTGAATGTGGCCCGTTTAATCATGCTGTATGTTCGTAACTTTGAGATTACCGATCCGGCTGAAGCACTACAGTACTTCTACTTCCTGCGAAACAAACGGGATCCAGATGGACGAAACTTATTCTTGACATGTGTATCTGATTTGGCCATTGAGTGCCGCGACTATGATCTGCTCTTTGGCAAAATGCAACGAAATGGTATCCGCTCCCGTGGTTTAATCGATCAATTTGAGTCCATCGAAATCGACGTTCGAAAAGCATGCGAAATTGTTGGCGATGAACTGGTGAAAAAAGGTTTATTCGAAGATGCTGTCAAATTGTATGATTTGGCTGGTGTAAGTATCAAAATCATCATATTTAGTTTCTTCTCGATAAGTTGCTAATTCAAAATTCGATGGCTTACAGATTGAAGAACAGTGCTTGCGATATTTGTCGATTTTATTGTCTCCAGTTGTGCATCAAACAGGTAAAAAAGGTTCATTGCGTGATCGTTTGTACTTGAAGTCATTGGAATTCTCCGAACGGTATGCTGACGTCTTAAATTGTGACTCAAATATTCGTGCCACATTCTTTACGCTTCGTGACTTGGTCAAATTCTTCGACGAATATCATGAACAAAAATATCAACTCGCATTGGAAACACTTAGCCAACTGAAGCTCGTCCCATTGAGCATGACCGATTTGGAACTATGCGTTAACAACTTTAAACGGTAAACCATTTTTTGAAGATCTTGGACGATCGATTTCAATTTTTTTCCACTGTTTCTAGACTTGGCGGTGAAGTGAGCAAAGTGTTCCCAGATTTACTGTTGGCAACCATGGACATCATTCATACACAATACAAAAGCTTAAAAGGACGTGATGGATACGCATTCAACACAGATGAAGCAAAAGAACGTGTAAGTATTCAGTTTGTACTTTACATCCTTCCTCGTACATTGTACTTCATCAAATAGCTAAATTGTCGTGTTTTCCATCGAACATAGCAACTGGGAATCTTGCGCGACCAAGCGAAGGCAATCACAAATATGGCAGCCACTGTACCATATCGCATGCCAGGAGATATTAGTAGTCGTTTAGTTCAAACCGAAATCCTAATGCACTAGTGTTTAATGCAAACCTGAATCAACAACATCGGAATTTCCTTTCGTTTTTAAAATGCTATAAATACACTCCGTTTGATAATTTAAGGAAAAAAAAATAAATTCAATTAAAATCCAACAAAAAAACAGAATGTTTTTTTTTATTTGAGATATTTTATTGTTTGCAGTAATAATAATAATAATAAATGATCGTTTGTTCACTTTAAGAGTCTATTTTTGTTTTGTTTTGTATTGATTCTTGTTTGTTTGTTTGTTTGTAAAAGTGATGATGATTTACTTCCAGTCAATTAGGTTTCGGTTGTGATAATTTTGTAAACATACACAATCCATTGGTTTTTTTTTTCAAATTCCAATGCATTCAACATTAAACTCAATCAATTCACGTCTATTGCACGCAACCAATTTATTTGCTAAATGCAAAAAATCAACCAACAACAAGAAAAAAACTGACAATGCACATTCAATTCGCTGCAAAAAGTTATTACAGAATTTTGTCTTTTCTCCGTTTCATCATAATTAGTTCCATTTTTTTTTTTTTTAAATAAATTCCTATTTGATTCAAATATAAAACTGCCTATTGTCTAATTGCCACGTACAGCACCTTGACCACTCCAATCATTTAATCGAGCAATCAATTCTGTGCGCGCCTAAATATTAAAATTTTTTGATTGGGAATTGCCTTTTTTCCACACTAAAAAAAACGAATCGAAATATTTTTTTTCTCAAGCGCGAAAATTATTGTGCATTGGATTGAAGAAAATAAAATCGATTTTTCATCTTACAGTTCGTTCGAAGTTGAAATTAATTTGAGAAGGCTGGATTTTTTTTAAAGCGTTTTCAATGATATTTTACTCATAGATAATTTTAGCTCTCTCACAAAAGTTGAGGGGTTCCGAGGAAAAATGTTACGTAGAAAAGTTCCGCGGAAAAATGTTCGGGAGCTAAATGATATCATTTAGCAAAGCTAATTGGTACCAAATAGCTCTTCTAAATGATACCAAAAAGCTATTTGGTATCAATTAGTTAGGCTATTTGGTACCAATTAGCTTTGCTAAATGCTATCATTTAGCTCCCGAACATTTTTCCGCGTAACTTTTCTACGTAACATTTTTCCTCGGAACCCCTCAGTTATGATTTCGCCTGTTTATTTAGATATAGAGGAAGTATCTGGTGTGTATGTGTATGTGTGTGTGTCACATTCTAGCCTCGCACTGATCGATTTAACTTGTTTCGTTCTTTATAATAAATTAGTACACGTGTAAACATCTAATTTTTATTGAATTTGTTTTCATTTCAAGCACTTAGGAACATAAATCGTACACATTTGATGGGATTCACGTTTAGAATTGATTTTTTAATTAGGATCAAATAGACCGAATAGATTGATTTGAACTGATTCGACTCCATGGCCATGGATAAAAACGTTCAAATTAATGCAAAAATAATGGAAACCATTTGGTAATAGTGGTATTTTGTGAGATCCCATGTGTAAATGTGTATGCGAATTATTGTTTGGGTCAGCAATGGCAAATAAAACTGTTTTAATTGGCAGAATAATTAACTATTGTTCTTTGCTATGATCCGATTGTGCTGGTGATTTGTCCACATCGACAATAGGCTCCACAACCGGAACAACTGGCTCTTGTACTGTTGGATGGGAAAAAGAACAAATCGAAAATGACGTGATCATTGATTGTGAGTAACATAAAACTACCAACTTAAAGTGCTGCAATATCAAAGCTATAATCAGGTACACATAAAAAGCAGATAAAAATTATGGAAACTGCAAAAACTAAAAGAAAAACACTCACACACACAGAAAGAATCAAACATAAATCGATAAAAAGCAAAACAAAAATTATGTAAAAATAAAAAATAAAAGATCATAATGTCTAATGTTATAGTTGTTCCTTTCGTAAGCCATAAGGAATAATTTTATTTCGTTTCTTAGAATAAAAATAAAATTAAAAATAATAAAAATAATTTAGCGCTTTGTGGTCTGTTTTTTGTGTTTATTTTTCTCTCTCTTTTTTTTTTGTTTCAGTTCGGTTGATTTTATTTTTAATATTTATTTAATGTAGTTTTTTTTAGCTGGAATTGAGTCTTTCATATTTTGTTAACAAAATAAATACACATTTTAAAAGCATGCATTATCTATTCCTTTTTATCAAAAAGTGTTTCATGCTTTCTTCATACAGGATTTTTATTTCTTGTAACAGCGTGTTATTATCTTCTTCTTTTTTTTTTCAATATTTGTTAACAAAGATCAAGAAATAACAGAGAAAAACATGTCCATTTTCGGCAATTTTCTCTCTCTAAAAAAACGATCATTTTAAAACGAGCTAAAGCTTAAATCATTTGATTGGTTTTCCTTATGAATAGGTATTTTTTTGTTTAAATTAGAATTAAAGAAACAGGTAGCACATTCATTCAGCGAAAAAGAAAAGAAAAGCAAATGATGCGAAAAAGATGATTTTATTCAAAAAAGAGAAAAATCAATTCTAATTCCTCGGTTCAATGGTCAACATAAACACACAATAACTGCTCGCCATAAAATGAATTTTTGTTTTTAAATAAATAGATGTTAACTGCTGAATGCAAAAAAATAGTGGTATTCATCGATTGCTTGTGCCATTCTATTATTGTTATTGTTATTGTTACTGTGATTTGTATTTAGTTTTGTTTGCATTGCATTGCGATATTCAGGTGTTGTACTTGTTGTACGAACAAAAAAAAAAATAAAATACCGAAAAAAATAATAATAATCATAATTTGTAAATCGAAATAAACAAACCAAAAGCGGCATGCTTCATTTGAAACTTGTGTATCCTTCCGTTGAATTACCTCCTGATATTGATGGGCCCGGCGGTGTGGTTGGTGTTGTTGCATTCGAACCGCCAGCACCACCAGCATTTGATGACGAACCAGCTGCACTGCTGCTTGCCATCGGTTTCAGTTCTTTTATTTGCTTAATCAAATAGGCTTTTTCATCGTTAAATTGCTCGTCTTCCGATCGATCGGTATGAAATTTCGTTAGAAAGTCTATTAATTTCTCCTGATTTCGCAGCAATATGTCCAATATTGGCTTCGGTTTGTTTGGATTGGCCACAAATACCTGAAATTGGGGAGATACACATGAATTAGTGAATTAATGACTAGATAACGTGGAAGAAGAAGGACTGAAAATTTAAAGAATCTTCTTCTATTTATAGCGTGCGACTGTGTTCCGATTTATACCAAGAATTTAAGATTAACACCTCAATCAAGTTAGAATACCGTTAAATGCATACCTTGAACACGTGGAAGGCTTCGAATTGAATATTACGTGATTTCTCTTTCAGCATATTCATCATAAGCTTCAAATTTTCTGGGTTTGAAATATACCGAGTCATTACCTACGACGAGAAAACGAAAAGTATTAATTCGGTTTGTTTGCCATTGTGATTGTCGTTGTGTATCAACTTACTGTAAAGTTATGTCTATCCAATAGCAATTCGCCCAATAGTTTTAAGCTTTGTCTACGTGTTACATAATTCTCTGAGCTTAACAATTGTTGATAATGTGTAAACACCTGGTCATAGTTTGCTTCCAAGAATTCAGCACACAGCATTTTATGACGTGTTAGTAGTTCCTACATTAAACAAACGAAAATTGTACACACGTTAAATTGATTTGAGATCGATTGTAATTCAACCGATAAAGAACCAGATCAAACAAATATCAATTGAATCACGTTCCATAAACAAAATTCATTTTTGCTGTTACCTTAAACGTAGAAAATGCATCAGATGCAATGTCAAATGTTGATACTTCAACGTAACGGAAAAAATTGAAGAATTCATTTGAATGTAACATAATTTTGGCCAATGCTTCGTACCGTGCGCATTCACGTAACATTGTTCCACAGTTCAGTGCGATTTCTTGGTGTTCATAGCTGTAAAAATGCCAGAAAAAAACCGCATTTATTTTCAGAAAATGTATGAAATTATTTGAATTCTCTTGATTCTTACCCAGCTATTAGCGTAAATAGAATTTCCGGTTTTGTGCAAATGTATTCAACAGTCGGTGACCGAGTGCCAATTTGCCGTCTAAGTACATTATTAAAAACTTGTGCCACATCTTTCTTGCCTTCGAAATCAATGCGATTTAGATTCTGAAAAAAAAAAAAAAAAATGCACCGAAACGCAAGCGCGCAATTCAGTAGATTTGTAGAAATGAATAGAGTGACATATCAATTTAAAATCGGTACTGGCAGGCGCTATCGCTGGCACAACGATGTGTGCCTGTGTGTGTGTTAGTATGAGCGCAATGATTGACAAATGATAATCAAACACACAATATTAAAACGATAGCACGTGGTACACACTTGTTTTGTGTCGTATCTCATTGAATGTAGGCACTTTGTACCGCTTTGCACAACTAACCTGAATCAAAAGTAACAATAAATTACTGTTATACAATTCTTGTGACAATTGTGCGACGACGTAGTCAGTCTGTGGCTCCGAATCCGATGTACCGTACAACATACTTTTGATAAGAACCTGCAAAACGTCAAGGAATTCCATTGGTTTTCATTTTTTTTTTACTTTCAATCATGTTTACACAACACAACAGGGAAATTCCCCGCCTCAATTCGATTACAGTATTGAATTTGAACTTACTAAATTTTTGCTAACGTCCTCTTGAGCCTTTTCCGCTTTTTTGTCGCCTCGTTCCAGTGCAGTAACGGCCTCCTTGAGAGCTTTCACCAATTCGGCCGGTGTTTTTTGTGATCTTCCAAAGAGCGGCATATTGGCTTTGTTTGAAGGGGTGATTACTTCGATTTAGTGACCTTAACGATTGCTATGAAATCAATACACACACACACGCTCAAATCGATCGACGATGTTTTTGGTTTTTGATCTAGAATTCAAACGGAATGTATTTATTTTAGTATGATCATAGAAAATTAAAGGTTTGTATGTATTCGAAATCGTACCTGTGTTGATTCGTCTCGAAATCCACACGAAATAAAAACAAAATTACAACAAATCCCTGTTGATTGGGATGAGAAAAAAAAAGAGAAATCAAAATTTAATAATAAATAAATCAAAATGACTATAAACAGATTGTTGACTCTTTTTTAGCTGATGTTTAATTAAGTAGCCGACGCAATTAGTTTCACATTTCATATAAATAAATGCCAAATTGGTTTCGAAATGACGAAGAGAGCGAGACGAGCACGTATATATGTTAGTCTGTTTATCATTTTGATGAGACAGCACACTGTCAATTGTCAAAACGAAAACATATTTCGAATGTTCACCGTTGAATTGTTCTGTATAAACAAATCCGAACCAGCAATCAAATGATATCAAAAAAAAAAAAAGAAAATCATTGCACACACCATTATTATTATCGACCGCATACATAGAGAAAGCGCAAAACAGAGACGGACAATTTTTTTCTCTATTGGAGACAATATTACATTGATACACAATTCTCGCCAATCAATTAACACGATAACAGTGTTATATGTATGTGCGCTTGAACACATGGGAATAATTGCTGCTATTTGCACAATACACGACACACAAATCGTGTACATTCGAAATGTTGTAATATCATTGGCGATATCGGTCGTGTCTGTTTTAAAAATACTGTATATTTCAACTTATCGCCTGTTGTAAATAAACAACAGAAATGAAACGAAAAAAAAAGAAAGAAATACGGGGAATGTGTTGTGCAAAACATAGGCGACGACGAATGCAACGAAGTAAAAAAAAGATATTGTTGAAAATACGACGGCACCGTATCCCGTGACACCCCGTCAATTTCTATTCGATGAAATGCAATACAATCGCGTTTTACACTCGGTTTCATCATTAAAATAATCAAATTTTCACATAATTTTCGATAATTATTACTATTAATTATTTGTACACTTGAAAATTTTGAATATTCGTGCCAATTTGTCACACAACACAAATTCGGTTCGATGCTGCTATTTGCTACTGCTGTTGCTGTTGTTCGAAACGATACAGAAAAATGACACAAGTGGTATGCATATACATTCAATGACAATGACCATCAGAACAAACTTACATATGCATACACTCTTTCTCGCTCACTTGTACAACACAGACTCACTTGCACTCCGCACTCACAACACAGACAGAACACACAGATACACACACACACACATACATACACCGACACCGATTACCGTAGAGAATAAGAAGAAGCAGAGGAGGAAAAAAAGTGAATAATTCCGTCCCGAAAGTTACAATGAAAAAATGAACAAAAAATTCATGATGAATTTTAATAGATTCGCATGTAAACGTGAACTAAAATGGAATCGCAACAATCACGTTGATTTTTGATGATCATGCAAAACCACACATTTTTTTTTGTACAATGATGTGAAAATAAATTAGGTAATACACAAAACGGTGTGAATTAATTTTTTTTTTTCAAGTATCAAGACAACAACAACAATAAGAAAAAGAAAACTTTGACTCTGAACTTTTCGACTCTATCTCTTTCCAATTCATACACTCACACACTTAGTATGGGTAACGATTTGTTTGGTTGATTCTCTTGTAATATTATTTCTTTATTATTTTTTTTGCGTTTTGTGTGTTCCCGTTTCAATTGGGCTCACTGTGTTTGCTTGGTTGATTGATTTGAATGATTGAGGTTTTTCGTTTACGTACGTTTATTGATTTCTAGAATTTTAAAACACCGCACACACAACACGAAAATTTGACACGAAAAAACAAAAACGTTTATTTGATTTTTCAGTTTTTATTTTCGGTGGCGTTTTTTCACTTTTGATGTCGTGTCCGTCAAACTCGTAGCACAGGTCTCACCACTGCTGGAAACAGTTTGCGTTTGGCGTATTATAGCGCAAAGAACTAATGAAAAAACATAAAAATGTAGAAAATCTTCGGATACATTTGACAGTTCACTTCGGTTCTCTTTTTTTATCAGTATGTGTGTGTGTATGTGTGTGTATATGTATGTGAATGACACATTGACCGCAATTGTATTACACTGCTTATAGTTTTTGACAAACGGCTTTTTTTTAGATAGATGGTACGGTGGGTACGTGTGTGTGTGCTCACGCTCAGTGTGTATGGCTCGAGCACGAAGTTGTCCGCATATCATACGCCCGCTTCAACTGACTCACCAAGCAATAATATGAAACGTGAGAATATCGAAATTAATCAAAAATATATGGTGTTTTGTTTGGAAATGAGCAAACATATACATAGCAAACTTATATAAGTTACTTATGAATCATCAACTCCAACGAGAAAAACAACGTTTGTTTTGAATTTGATCAAAAAAAAATCTTTATTCATTTATCATTATTATCAGCACATAATTTCAAAACAAAATCGAACTGTTCTTTGTGTTTGTCTTTCTCTGGTAATATGGTGGAGTAAAATTCAAATAAAAATGTCGTCATTTCTGTTTAAAGATATGGGTGAATGCTTATAATTATAAAAGTGTTCTACAGCAAATAAACTGAAATTTATGCATTCCGAATGCCCAATGCCTGTTCAAGTTCGGCCCGTTTCTGATTCACTTTGGTGAAGAAGTATCGAGAAACGGCTTCGTTCGTCCATGGTTGATAGTAGAACTCAGCTCGACGTTCTTCTTCCGGATTACCAACGACATCGGTCATTGTTTTGAGATCTCGAGTTTGACTTACAATCCAACGATGGATAAATGTTTGCGGATCTTTTGCAAAGCTCAAGAAAAATTCACGATTTGTTTTTAATTGATTGATTGTGTCAACCGTTTCATGGATCTTTTGATCGAGCACTTGAATCTCTTGCTGACTGGCCGTGCTCATTAAGAAGTTGTTCATTTGGTTCTTTAGCGTATCATCAACTTCAACATCGATGTCATAGCATGCGGTTTGTTTATGTTCGGTGCTACCTTCAACGGTGATCACATGATTGATGACAATTGGATCTGGTGGATGCAACAATGGATTCAATCGTTGTGGAATTTCGGCAAATTTCATGCGTGGACAACCAAATATCTGCTCCAAATACTTATCGCAATTGATAAATTCACGTTCGTGTGCATCTTGTAATTTGTGCGTTTTAATGTACTGCCACAATGCCGATATGATAACTGGACGTGTTTGTGTGTGCACGCCAAGCAATCGTGCCAAACGTGAATCCAATTTAAACTGCAATGGTTGATAGTCAAGCAATAGTAAAATTGTGCATCGTACATTACGATCGCCTGGTCGTTTTACTTGGAAACCGTCCGTTTCCTGTGTGGAATGAGTACGATGCCATTCAACCAAATGATTATCCGGCCCATACAAATCCTTGTCCAACTCAATCACCAACGACTTAAAGAAACTCGAAAATTTGCGCTTGATTTTGTTCGGATCACTTTTGGTGTCTTCCAATAAACGACCTTCAACACGTAATTCCCATGAAGCAACCGATCCTTCAGCAGCGTCTGGACCGTCGCCCGGCTCTTTGCTTGGGTAGAATGTATTCGAAATGAATATGCGCAATTTTCGCTTTTGTTTCATTGGACGTTTCAAGGCTTCTTGGATGTCAAGACGTTTTCGCATTATTGTTGCGTCCAATTTACGCTCAAATGCCAATAAATCCATATAGGCTTGCGATTCGGGCACCAAATCTCGCACTTTTTGTGGTAAAATTTTATCGGCCAACTTTTTCTTCTTCTTTGCTGGATAATCGGCACTAAAACAGAAAACAATTGAAAAACACACATTTTATGCAACATTTGGTCAGGAATATGATTTGTTTCACATACTTTTTCTGTCCGGACATTTGAGTACGCGAGTCCTGCGGTCTTTTGCTGCTCGGTGTATTTGGATTGACAACACGAGCATTTGGCATCGTTTGAAAACCACTGCCCTGTTGACCAGATGGTTGGCGCTGCATTACTGGCGGACCGGCACTCATTTGAGGCGGTGGCGGCGTAAATCCTCGTTGTGCCTGTATAAAAAAAATTTGGGCGAAAAATACACACATTTAACCTCAATCCATTTGGCACAACAAATTCACTTTTTTCCTTTTTAAAAATGAAACGATAACTTACGGGAAAGTTTTGAGTTGGACCGGAATATGGGCGCATTGGTGTTCCGGGTGGTGGTTGTGGCATTGGTTGCTGATACCTTGCTTGTTGTGGACTTTGTGGTGGACCAGCTACACCGCTTGTCGGCTGAAATCTTTGCGACATCGCCTTTCGCTCGTTTTATACAATAGAAATCAATTTATCCAACTCACAATTCAATCAATACAATGAAATATCGTCAAAATTGTTGGAATTCTACAAATTTATGTTAAATTCGATGGGAATATAATGTAATTTCATATAGATATTGGCAAACACAAGCAGAAAAATGACGCCATATATACGAACACAAATTGACTTTTTTTGTTTGATGTGTTTAAAGTGACATAGACATCGTTTCGACATGAAGTTGGCTATGATAGCTGATGCAGCGTGATTTGTGTTGTGTTTACGTAAATATTGGCCATTTGAAACGATGGAAATTGGATGAACATTTGAATGTAATGGTTAAAGGAAAAAAAAACTATAGAATTCAAGATTTTATTTTTACTTTTTCAGTAATAAAAAGACCTATCCTACAAAAAAATAGAACGTTGAAAAAAATGAAATGCAAAAAGAAATAAAGACGTTGATTTTTGATAGAGTTTTATATTGGTGTATAAATTTGAACAGCAAATTTCTTGTAGAGCTATCTAGACCGTCTAAAAGGCTCGAAAAAGGTTTTGTTTATGAAAATCTCTCATTCAGACGACCCAATGAAATCTAATTACTTACATATTTTACATAAGATTTTTCTCTTTGCTTACGGGCTCATCTAACTGACTTTGTACGTATTGATGTACTGAAAATAAAACCATTATATGTGACTGAAATGCATTGACGCAAAAATAGTATTGGGAAAAAATGTTTGTGAACGTATCAATGTTTGTGATGTTTTCAGTTCGACAGCAAATTTGAAAACATTACCATTCGGCACCACAAAAAAGGTGGAGCGATAAAGAGAGAAAGAGAGAGAGAGAAAGAGTAGTTTAAAAAAAGGACATATAAATCTTCTTTTTCGGCATTGAAGAAATAAAAGCGATTTTTTCTAAAAGGAAAACGAAAGGCAGACAATCGTGGTAAAATCATCATTGGCTTTCTTTGAATACATAGTTTGTACTACATGCACATAATGGAGTATCGAATGTATAATGCGATTTAATTTTAATAATTCAGACACACTTTTTGCATTCAAATTGTTTAAAGAGAAACTAACGATTAGCCAATTAAAGAGAAAAACAACAACCAATATAACTGATTTTTTTAAATCAGCTTGATCATATGAATAACATACTTTTACCATCGGCATAATTTCGTTTAAATTTTAAAAAAATAATCTATAAACGCACACTTGAAATTATGCTTTCGTTTGAATGTTCATATTCGTTGAATATGTTTCCTCTAAACAAAATCATAAATATATACGAAAATAACGTATCAAAAGTCATCAAGTTGACATCAACCAATCGTTGTGAAGAACATTCAATTCAAAATTGTTTGCTCCACAACAAAGTAGTTGGTTTATTTGTTTGTTTTTATTTTTCATTTCAAAGAGATAAAAAGGGATAGCGCGAACGCTTTTCCCTGCTATCAAAAATAACGTGTACGAGTTAGATACTTGAGATCTAATCGCAAAGGTCAGCCACGTCGAAGTGCAATGACGCGGGCCTCACTTCGGAGAATCTTCCTTCTTGATCAAAGAAATCTCTACACCAGGTAAGTATGATTTGGCATCGCATCGAACAAGTACTTACTAACGCTACGCATACGTTGCGCTAGTGAATTATAGCATTCAACAGAGTGAAAAACGTGCATACTAGTAAGAGCTCTGTTTCGTTCATTTGTTCTATACTGCTGTACTGTATTCGTTCTGTGTTACGCTGTTTGCTATTCTCACTGTGCGCTTTCTATATTCTATATATAGTATACATTGCACTGCTTGCCGTACATCGTGCGAATGTTTGAATTTTTTGCAAAAAAGTACATTAATTGAGATTATGATCTTGCAATTTATTTTTGCTAATTTCATTAATTCGGAACTAATTGAAAATGAGACAATATTTGTTCGATTTTATATTGGTTCGATTTAGAATAAATTGACCTTGGCTAGTGCGCCTGATGGAAATCGTATCCGAATTTAGATGCTATCTCCATACGTTTGAAGTCATTTCTTGAGAAACGATAAACAATGGGTCATAATTCTACTCGCACAATGCCAACTATTTACAAATTTGGATTGACGAAGAAGCATTTTTTTATAGAATCGGCACATATTTACATCAAATTAACTCATTAATTGAACTAAAATGAATTTCACCAAATTTGTCTGGAGACGTCGAAATTTGATCATGAAACCTCCAACCAAATAAATGATAAATTATATGAAATGTCATGCGGTTATGATGCCGAACGGAAATGTTTATAGTTTTACTTGATTTCAAAGTTATTTTCGTTTGCTGGCTCCAACTAATTTGAATTTCGAAACAAACATCGAAAGACGACAACGACAATTTTTTCTCTTGAAATTTGAAATCAGTCAATCATTTAAAAAAAATCACGACACGGATGCGAAATAGATTGCTTGGCCACACACGCAATTTGATCGATGTTCACAGCTGCCAATAATTATGTCATTTTACTATGAGTACTCTTTCATTCAGAACTGACGACATGCACTTAATAATTCGTGAATGAATGATTTTGTCAACATTTTGTGCGTTTTTCAGTAAAAGTTCAATCAACCGGTAATAATTTGGTATTGTTTTATGTGAAAAAAAAAAAACAATAAAAATGTTGATCTTTGAATTTCTATTTATCGATTCTATAGAGATCAAAGTCGTCATATACACGAGCCTGAAAATTCAATGATTCGATCAATTGAAGAGATGAGACGAGGAAAGAAGAAAAAAATGGCACACAAGCACACACAACATCGTTTGGCAATGAAATAATGAACAAGCCTACACCAATCATATAATTCGCAAATATCATCAATTCCATTAAAGGCAGATCCAATCAGACGTGGCTATAAAAGAAACGGTGGGACACCGAAATCGCTTTAGTTGGTTTTCAGTTTGCGAAACACTTGATTGTCTTCCAGACTTTGTGATTTCCTTCAAAACAAAACAAAAAGACGCTATTTGATTGACAAGTGAAATTTAAGTGAGATTTAAATAAAAATGTCATTCCTTGGAGCTGGAAATACATCTGATGTGGAACAGGACAAAGGTCTATCGGATTATCGAATTAGTCGGAGTAACAACAATTTGGCATCAAAACCAACAACATCGAAATTCTCTGATGTGTTGTGGAATAACAAAAATGATGATTCGGACAGCGAAATAAGCGATTCGGGCAATTTTTTGGCCAAAGGTAAACAATCAAAAAGCTCATTTTGGAAATTAAAAAAAGAAAAAAAAAATGTAGAGATGTTTGGAAATTTGTCAAAAATGATTGTGTTGAAAAAATTGAAACAATCTTCGTGCCCTTTTCTCCAGGTGCATTTTTGTTAACTCCATCGCATGAGTTGTCGTTGGAGCGTGCTGCATTGATTTGTGAGAAGATGAATTTCAAGGGGTGTTTCTCTCTTACCAAAACAGCCACTGGAATTTTATTCAAATTTTCCCATCCAGAAGATTATCAAGCGGTTTTCAAGAAGGGTTTTCATAAAGTGACCAATGCCCGATTCTATCGCAAAATTGCAGTTCCATGTCGTCCACAAAAAACATTCACATTGTTTGTGTTTGACGTTCCGGAAGGTAAACATTTGAACATGATGAGGTTTGAAAATTCATGAACCGAAATTTGGTTAATTTTTTCCCATCATTGTTTGCGGAATTAGATATTCCAATCGAAGATGTGCGACATTCTCTATTCCGTTTTAATTCGGTTGTTGAGGTGGTGCGTTTAATACTTCATCCACAAGTGGAACCGGCTCCAGCACCAGGTAAGAAATATACACATATTTTGGAAACTACATCAAAATCAAACACTTACATAATCGGCATATACAAAACACTTTGAAGGCACATCATTTGTTAAATCACAAATCCTTAATAAAGCCAAGGAGCGTGAAGATGAAGCAAAAGAAAAGGACGCACCACCGGCCCCAATTCGCATTACACTGGCTTCACTTGACGAATACAATTGTTTATTGCAAAATGGATTAGATTTTTACGGAGCAACTTTCTTTCCAACCGAAGCAAATTTGGAATTAGCCGGTCCCGTTCGCATTGCAACCAAAAAAGGAAGGTAAATGAATTTTGAATTTTGCATCAATTTGGAATTGTTTGAATTCACTTGGTATAAATTGTGTTTTCAGTCGAATGGTTGACGGCAACATTCCGGGCCGAGTTCGGGAATTATTGCCGGTATTCGATGCAGCGGGATTCTGGTAATTGTCGTGTGATACATTTTCTATCGCACATTTATCATTCATTTTTGAGCCTTTGCATATTTTGGACATTTCAAACAGCTTTGCTTCTGAATTATTAACATTTTTAAAGTGCATATTAAATTGTAGAATGAATATTTCAGCAAAATTCCACCACCAGCCAGCAAAACGATTAAGCCACGCCTATGAGCGCGCTGACGACGATCACAACATCAACGATAAATTATGACGACGCAATTATCATAATCAAATTCCAACTGTCTAACAAATCCAATTTTTGAGTCATTCTTTAAAGTTTTTTTTATTTGGAGAGGAAACAATTGAAATACAAAACCTTTTGTATTTTCTTTGTTTTGTTTTGATCTTCGAGCTTGAGAAGAGAACAAATATAATTTTTTATTCATAATCAAATCTAATTCAATTTAAATGTGCGACAATTTTACAGTTCATTAATTCGCACGGCATATTTACTCTACGTTTGTATCTTTTATTATACAAATTCTTCTTTTCTCTTTCATTCTCATTTAGCCTAACAATGACAACAGTGGCTTTAACATAATTTTTTTCTTCTAATAAATCATTAAATGATATTGTATAACCGAAAACAGTTTGTTTGTATTTTATTCATTTCTTTTCGCTATTTTTATTATTTACATTCGTTTGTATTTGAATCGACAGTGAGGTGTGCATCATAAGGTGAAAATGTTCGAATTTTTTTAGCCATCATCAACTGATTTGCAAACAATGAAAAAAAATAAACATCTGCTTTTTCATGTGTTAGAATGAGAGATATGCTTGTTTTGAACGATATTTCGGAATGAATGTTGTTAAGTTCAAACCAACTACAAAAACCCTAACGTTCCACTGTATTTCATCCAAATGAATTTTACGTAATTACGTATCTCTAATGACACACAAACACGCACGTATGAAACGTATTGAAAGTGAAGTTCATCCGCCATATTGTATGCCCAATGCAAGTGTAATGTCATACGTTTTCATTCACCATTTATCATTGCCTTCATAAAGTCGCAAGAACCATTCGTGTAATTCAACTTTCTTCAAATTTTGTAAAGTGTAGTAAATAATTCTTTTATCACAATGGCGTTATCATTACCGCCACCAATAAATATTTCATACGATCCGGAGATCGATGAAAAAATGCTGCGTGGTGCACCTGAAATGGGTGCTTTGGTGAGTGCTAAAGTGGCTGCACCACCTTATGGACAGAGAAAAGGTTGGATTCCACGAGCCGAAGAGGATTTTGGTGATGGAGGTGCTTTTCCAGAAATCACAGTCGTTCAATACCCATTGGGTAAGTAAAAAAACATTTGATACGTTCAAAAAACGTAAGCTTGAACTTTGGTTTGTTAAGTAAAAAAGCGATTATTATTATTTTTGTCAATAGGTATGGGCGCACCACATAATGCTGGCAAAAAATCAAATGCCTTGGCTATAAAAACAGACGCAACGGGAAAAGTTCGATATGATATTATCGCTCGGCAGGGTCATGGAAAAGATAAAATCGTCTATTCGAATATTAGTCAATTATTGCCAGCTGAAGTACTGGCCGAAGATGACGAACTGTTGAGGCGACCTGATGACGAAAAAGTGGCCGAAACAACAGAAGCTACCCGCCGTGCATTGGAAAAATTAACAAATCAAAAGGTGTCCGCAGCATTACCCGTTCGTGCGGCAGAAAAAGCAGGACCAGCCCAATATATACGCTATACACCGTCGCAACAAGGCGATCAATTTAATTCAGGAGCAAAACAACGGGTTATTCGCATGGTAGAAGCACAAGTCGATCCAATGGAGCCACCAAAATTCAAGATTAATCAGAAAATTCCAAGGGGACCACCGTCACCACCAGCACCGGTAATTATTATTCTATTTTTGCCTGTGTTTTTATCACTTTCGATTGGTAACTAACCCTTTTCGTGGTTCTGTTTCAGGTATTACATTCACCATCTCGTAAAGTAACAGTGAAAGAGCAAAAAGAGTGGAAAGTACCGCCGTGCATTTCAAATTGGAAGAATGCAAAAGGTTATACCATTCCATTGGATAAACGATTGGCGGCCGATGGTCGTGGTTTACAACAAGTACACATTAACGAAAAGTTTGCAAAAATGGCTGAAGCATTGTATATTGCCGATCGAAAGGCTCGTGAAGCTGTCGAGGCACGAACACAATTAGAAAAGAAATTGGCAGCCAAAGATAAGGAAACGAAAGAACAACAATTGCGACAAATGGCACAACGGGCCCGTGAAGAACGTGCCGGTATTAGACCGATTGACGAGGCTGGTACAAATGTGGACACACGTGAACGTGATGAAATTCGTGCTGACCGACATCGTGAGAGAGTTCGTGACCGAAATTTGGCCAGAGCAGCACCAGAAAAACGATCGAAATTGCAAAAGGAGCGTGAACGTGACATTTCCGAACAAATTGCATTGGGTGTGCCTGCAAAACGTGTTAACAATGAGGGTGAAACAATGTTTGATCAACGATTATTCAACACATCCAGAGGGATGGATGCTGGATTTGGTGATGAGGACGGCTATAATGTATATGATAAACCATGGCGTGATGCCAATTCGATGGGATCACATTTGTATCGGCCCAGCAAACAAATCGATCAAGATTTATATGGTGGTGATTTAGAGAAAATTGTTAGTACTAATCGGTTTGTACCCGACAAAGAGTTCAGCGGCACCGATCGCTCAGCACAAAATACACGTACAGGTCCTGTACAATTTGAAAAAGAAGAGGATCCATTCGGTTTGGATCAGTTCTTGAACATGGCCAAGAGAACCAACAGGAAGGACGGGAAAGACGACAAATCATCATCATCGTCATCATCCAAACGCCGAAGAAATTAATCTTCTTTTTTTTATTCAACCTAATAGGGTTTCAACCTTAATTTTTTTTTCAAATAAAATTCTTGATATTGTATAGCCGAAAACTTTTCGGGGTTTTATTTCAATATTTTGCCTAGGGGATCGAAACTTGAAAAAAAACTTCAAATAAACACAATTTTGTAAGAATTATATTGTGATTATATAGTTCATATAAAGCAGCGATGTGAAACACACCCAACAAAAAATAAAATTTTATATTATTCAATATAGTCAAAATGGGTGAACATTCATGAATATGCTTGGTTAAATGCCAATAAAAATTACTTCCGAGCCTCTAGCATTTTGTATTGAAACAATGATTTCTTTTTACTGGATGTTGATGTTTCAGATTTTGATTTCACATCTTTCTTGCCGATTAGAACAAGTCCAGTGCTTCTTGGTAAGTACAGCTTGTGCATGTCAACCGTACCTCTATAAAACAGTAAATGAAATACAGTAAATATTTTGATGTAAATAAATGAGAAAAAATACTTTAATTTGGAATGGATGGAACAAACGTATATTTCCATTTGATCAGGAAGTCCTTTCAGAAATTTATTTGCATTTATAATTCGGTCGTATCGACTGAAATTAAGAAAAACGGCAACTACATCCGATTCTCCTTCGATGTATCGTTTATATGCTAGAACATCGTAATCCTTGCCATCGAATAACATATATGCTCCATATTTCATGATTGGATTTTTTCGCAATTCGCCCAACTTTTGAAAAATATACAAATGGCTGCGATTTGATGACTTTTGTAATTCAACATTGAGCACTTTATAATTACTGCCGATCGGAAGCCATGTTTTTTGGGATTGACAAGTACTAAAACCAGCATTTTTTGTACTGTCCCATTGCATCGGTGTTCGACATCGATCACGATCATAACTATAGCCCTCATCATTTTCTTTCCTAGGAATTGGCACGTCAGTCATTCCTATTTCTTCGCCCTTTTTTAATTTTGAATCATTTTAAGTAAAATTAGAAATGGAAAATGAATTTAGCATACATACAGCCATTCAATTTAGCATACATAATAAGTTATAGTGATTCCAGGCAATGTTTTTATCAATATATTCAGGATGTCAGTACGTTCTTCTCCGAGTCTGGTTGATAATCTTGGTCTATCGTGATTTCCTAACTGAAAATGACGAATAAGATTATTTCATTTTATTATTTTTAAAAGAAATCAGTGTACGTGCTTACAACCCAATTCGGATGAATTTTGCCTTCTTTCGCATATCTCGTCACATGCCCAAGGCAATATTTAACAATTGCTTTGTTGTAAAAAAAAGCTGATGACGAACGTGTTGCATATTGAATTGGATTGAATATGAACGGAACTTCGACTCCATTTTTAATGATCTTGCCTTTCCGAACATTTCCAAAATATTTCAATGTGCCGTCAATATGGCTGGTGTAGTCTTCGGAAAACAAAATCCTATAAATATTCAAAATTATTATTTTTTAATTTCCTTGAACAGTGGAGCATAGGATTCTTATCATTCAGGTTTCTGTTAATCAGTTTGGTCTTTCAGATAAATCGGTGATCAGTCGATTGATCGATTGTAGCAGTCGCAGTAGCCACATTCAACATTGTATGGCACAACAATTCAGTTCACTCTTCTTTAATAAGAGTTGTAATTATCATTAACTCACCGAGGAAAGTTTGAAAATTTCCTTTCTTTTACCACATCATGGAAGTGATAAACTAACTCATACGATTCATCTAAATTTTTTGTACTGAAAAATTGAAAAAATAAAACAAATAATGATAATAATAAAGAATCATGTGAGAATACGTAGCTTACTGAGTATGGTTTAAATTTTTGTGACCATTTGGATCACGATGTGATTCAGGATCATCGAATGGATTTCTGGAAATGTATTCAGGTTCATCATCATAGTATCCTTTTTTATTCGCTTTTGATTCCATTAAAAACCCCACAGCATCCATTCTGAATCCGGCGACTCCCTTTTGTAGCCAAAATCTCATAGTTTCATCTATTTCCTTTTTAACCGCAGAATTTCGAAAATTCAGATCAGGTTGTTCGGAGTAAAATTGATGCAAATAATACTCATTTCTACTCTTCATCCATGTCCATGCACTTCCGCTGAATACACTAAAGCACGCTTAAGTATTAAAATAAAAGAATGTTGAAATCGAATTATCGAAATACCTGCGCCAATTGCTCGGTTCGACTATACTGCCATTTGATAACTTTTTTCCCTTATTCCAAATGTAATAATCTTTATACTTCTTGTAGTCTTTATGTTTCGGATTTGAAGATATTTGAAACCATTCATGTTGATTTGAGGTATGGTTTGGCACGAAATCTAAAATTAATTTTATATCACTTTTGTTACATGCTGCAAGTAATTGGTCAAAATCCGCCATTTTTCCATATTGTGGATGTATTTCTCGGTAGTTTGAAATATCGTAGCCGTAGTCTTTCAGAGGGCTTGGATTTATTGGTGATAGCAAAATGGCATCTACTCCAATATCCTTCAGATAAGGTAATCGATAAATGATTCCGTTTAAGTCTCCAATGCCATCACCATTAGTGTCTTGAAATGAACGTACATAGATATGATAGAAATGTGCATGTTCCCACCATTCATGATCTGTTAACAGATCATGATGATAGGCGTTAGTTTAAGGATCATTTAATTTTTAATTGAATGCTTATACCTTTATTTTTTCCACCCGCACACAACAACACCTTTTGGGAAATAATTTAAAATATTAATATTTTTACTGTTCTTATTTTGTAAAAGTTCTATAATAAAATATCCATTTATTGCTTACAAAGAGTGCAAGGAGCAGTATGAATATTCGAATCGTAAGCGTCATTTTATTTAAAAATTGACACTAAACTGTCGTTCTTGAGAGACACTTCATATTTATACCCCAATTTCAGTTTTTTTTTTAATTATTATTTCGCTAATCTGAATTCTGTTTGCATCATGTTTCTCTTACATCTTTTCATATAATTTTTAAATGTATTGATAACGTTGTTTAAGTTTTTATAAAAAGTTTGTGATAAAATCAGTCTGTGATCAGACGGTGAATAAATTAATAATAATAATAATTTTAAAAAAATATATTGACATTAGTTAATTCATTGAATTTTTAAGCAAAGTTTGGTTTTCCAATGACGCGATATTATTGTTTTCGAATTCTGTTTGGTTTATTTTGCGATCTATTTCTCAATTATTATTTTTTAATATTTATTGTACCGTTTTTAACATCACTTAATTACTTACGCGTGCAAGGAATATTATAAATATTTGAAATGTAAACGATATTTTGCTTAAGAACTGTAAGAAAAATGTGTCTGTTTTCTTTGAAATATTTTAAATATTCATCCGCTTTGGAGACGGCGTATAAATGCCTCTGTATTTTTAATTTAAGACCTACTTTTGTGTAAAATAGTGTCTAGTTCGCTTAGAAATAAAATTGTATATAAAAGACTGCAATATAACGAAAACCAAAAAAATTTGAGGAATAAAGAAATGATTAGAGTTAGAACATTTACATCGGAGTATGCACATTGAACATAATCAACCTTTCTACGTAGCTTGTAGAAATTTTAATTTAATAAGAGTGATATTTGATAATCGGTAAATTGGCTAGTTAAGAAAAATTGTGTTATGAATTAGAAATATGCAATGGACACAGTCGGTATCTGCTGCTCCGAAGTCGAAAAGACTGGTAGCTGGGTATACGATCGGGTAGTGTTTCATTGCAAATGATATTGTAAAATAATTGTGATACATACATTCAGTCTGTGATCAGACGGTGAATAAATAAATAAAATAAATAAAAATGAAAAAAAATTATTTATTATTATACTCTATTTTCAAGGCACAAAATAGGTATCTTTTTGGACATATGTTAATATTCGTTCGCGTCTTTCGTAAATTTTCATACTAGTTTGTAAATGAATTGACAGAATTGCGTAAGTTAAAAAAAAATTTGATATTAAATATGATAACATCCAAGCCATTTGGAATTTTATGTTCGTGACAAACAACAAGTGTCACACACACTTATTTTTTACCAATGACGCACAAACCTTGCATATTCTATTTACCTTTTGTCTGCTTGAAAATCAAATGTCAACCGTCAACTTATTCCTTTTCATTTCAATAATGAAAATGACAACATGAGCGAGGAGTAAGTAATCAGGCTTTCGCTGACGGTCATCAATAATTAAATCAGATCAAATACACTCCAAGAAACAAATATCTTACGTTACATAACTTAAAAACGGAGTCACTTTTTCGAGAGAAAAAATTCGAGTCCGTTTTGTTGCGGTTTACATACTTACATAATATTGGTTAGTTATGTTTTCCATCTGCTTTTCAGCAACAATGTAACTGATTTCTCAGAATCGAATAAAACCAGAGCATGTTTGCAAGTGAATTTGCATATAGATTTTCTGGTTTCTTAGAACGGTGCGGAAGTTTAATCGGCAAATGATTCTTCGAATTTATGTATAACAGAGATTCTACTTGAACCTAATCAGATGAATTTTCGCACGCATTTTTCTAATTATTATTGCCCATCTCCATTGCTTCAACGTTAATTGAATCGAAAGCACACAGAATAAGCTGCTTATGGCAACAAACTGGCAAAACATTGAAATAAAATATGTTCAATTTACTCAAGTTTTTACACACAAACACACACGCATGCATACCTCATTTTCATATATATATATATTTCTTTAAGTGCTGAAACTCAAAACAAAGTTTAGCCAAATGGTTGTGAATTCTCATAAACTATCGATTTCAAAGACTTTGTTGCTGCCTCGTACACCTCGTAGCTGCATGCGTTGAATTTAATCAAAATTTATAGTGGTCTGTAATCGATTCAAAGTTTGAGCGTGTTCGAGCAGACACAGAAGAAGAGAGAGATGATTTTATACATATTCTTCGAAAACGGGCGGAGTCAAAAGTTGCAGTAAAACTCAATTTAATCCAACTATAATTAAATCTAAATTTTACGCGAATTTGAACAAATTATGCTGTGTAATTTTACCTACAAAAAGGGGATAAATATAAAGTTATTGCAATGTTTAAAATTTTCTGCTTATTTAATTTTCCATCGTTGGCTTAATTGGTAAATGCAATAGTTGAAACGATTAAAATAACAATGAACACAATATTCAATGATGATGACGACGATGATTCACCATTTGTGACAAACATCTGGTAATGGGTCATTGATTCAATTCGCATTTAATTCAAACCCATTTGGCTGGTTCAATTTATATTATTGACCTTGAAATTACCTCAATTGATATGCAGCAAGTGTCCATTACAGCAGAGATACAAAGTAATACAATCAACGAAGACCCCATAATATTAAATGCAGAGAGAGAGAGGGAGTTAAAGTGAAATTGCCATTCAAAGAATCTAAAATCGATAAATTCAATTTTTTTTAATCTTTATTGAGGCTGTTTATTGTAAAAAATTTAATTGTTCTTCCCATATTCAATGAACACTAAACGAATGTACAAATAAGAAGTGGTTAATAATAATATAGGATTTGCCTTGGTTCAATTGCACATCGGGTGTTGATGGCGAATCGGTTTATTCTGTTTTATATCTCCACTGAACATCAATACAATCAATCTAATGGAAAACGGATATATATTTTTAAAAAAACGTACAAAAAAATGGTTGAAAGAATAATAAATGCACACATGAAAAAAATCAAGTACACAATGCCAGATAAGTCGCACATTGACCAAATAATTCTCGGCCTTATACATTTATTTAAGTTCTTTATTTTCTCTGAATACAATTACATTGGCAAAACAAATTAAATACATCCGTTATTTGTTGTTGTTGTTATATTGTTTAAATGTTGTTTTTACTTTTTTTGCTCGGTATATTGTACTGAAATTGAAACAATGTGTTCCGTGTCAAATGCGGAACGAGAAAGAGTGAACATCGACAGTAATAATAATAATACATCGACTATAATCAGTCAAAGAGTTAAGTGATCTCTTTCTTGTTTATATTTTTCTCTATGGTCGAAGCGATATGTATTAATATGGAACTGGGAAATAAAATGTAAAAAAAAGAGAGTCGAGCCACAAGGAGGAACATCGAGTATCAGCCGATATAAGTTTGTGTGCGTTTATATTTTCAATGGCAGTCATTAGCTCCATGGTTCCATTGCTCATTTTGTTTTATTTGATGCATTTTGTTGCTGTTGCTTCTATTGCTATTTGCTGGATGCGTAAGAGTTATTCTTCATCATTTTTTTTATTCATATATATATATACAAAATATCTCTTAAAATTGTACGTTTAAATTAAAATAATCAATAACATTTAAGTAAACAATGAAATTTAAAACTGTGTTGTGGGTTGTGTGTATGTTGTCTTTGCGCGCATTGGCATGACAAGTTCATTTATTTCGTGTCATAAGAGTCGGTGAAAAAGAGGAATGGATTGTGTAAACTAGCCCCGCACACGAAATGAACTAGTATTACTAGTCCATTTAATGTGTGTGCACGGTCATAAATTGGATCGATGTCTATTTTCAGAGGTGATTTCTTTTAACGGCTATAATTAAATGAGTGTTTATGGCCGGGATTTTTGCGTCATTTTTTTCCGCTCTTCATCCGTTCAAAATAAAGTAATAAATAAAAAACTTCAAAATGATGTTAAAAAAATTATATGTGACAAACGGTTTTAAATTAGTCCGTTTCGGCTATAAAGTTAAAGCCTGCATTAACATATGCCTCTTTTTCACTTTTGTGGTCTTCATATGACATATAGAGTCTCTACGACTACTCTTCACTCGTGACATATTGAAAAATGAAAAATATTGAAGAAAAATCCATTTAGAAAAATTAAATCCCAATTCAAAAACTTCAAAACCAAATTGAAAGAGCGCGGAAAATAAAGAGAGATTACAAAATACATCTATATACGTTACGGGTAAACAGGCCCTACATTTTACATTCACAATATTCAATATTTAATTTGATTAACTTTTTTCATCTTCTTCTTTCATTTTGTTTACGATAAATCCTTAACTACTGAACTATTATCGAAAAGAGACGTCTTTAAATATTGTATGTGTAAATTTACGATTTAAACTTTTTGTTATGATATATGTATGTGTATATGGCTAACGCTGTTGCATCTGCTTAACATCGTTTTATGCAGATCATAATGATTTTTTTTTTGTTTTCAATTTTTTCATCTTTAGGTTTGTGTTTTATAATAATAATTGATACATCTTAAATAAATAAATATGGTTTTTTTGCAAAAGTAAATCTAAACTTTAAAAAAAAGAAAGAAAAAAAGACACTATGCCAGAGGAGAGAAATGAATTACATATCATGTTATCATGTATATAGATTTAAAGTGCTTAAATGTTAATGTAAAGAGTGTATGTTGTTTGACTTGTTTTTTTTTGTTAAATTTTTCTCTTATAATTCGTGAGTGTGTATCTTATTCGATTTTTCTTCAAAGAAATTTATATATTTATTGATAAATGATTTCGGTTTCGATCGTATTTTTCCGATGTGTTGTTGTTGCTGTGTTTTCGTTCATCTTCTTTCGACGCATCGCATGGTGCGCAACGCGAGTTCACGCTTCCAATGACACAGGCTCGGTGTGTTCATTCAAGTGTGTTGTAATTGTAATAAATAGGTTATTTATCGTTTTTAAATCAAATAATTATTGCGATTCGAGAATATACGTATGGGTTTTTTTCTTCTTTTTCAATCTCTGCCCCAATCTGCCGGTCGCCATCTCTTTCTTTCATTGAGACGACGACAGAGAAAAGGTTGAGTAATTCGATGCAGTTTTTAAACGTGTGTTTGTATATTGTTTTCTAGTCAACTACTTGTATATTATTCAGCGCTCTCAATTTGTATGCTGCATTGCTTATTTTTTTCGTATCCCGTTACATACTCAATTGTTTTATTGATGATGTTAATGTTTGGCGCGATCTCATATTTCTACTTCATTGTATCTGATTCACGTCGTTTGCTGGCATATACACACACATATATTGATAAATATATATATTGAAACTAAGAGATACTATGTATTTATTTTTATATATTTTTTTTTTGGTTATTCAAACCTGGAAAACAAAACAACACAACACACATAATGAAGTGAGTGCCCACGCGCGCACGTCCGCTCATACACAAAATCAATGCACATCATCGATGCCGTTCCACTTTGTAAATGGTTACTTTTTGTTGTCTCTTCTACTGTTGGTGCTGGCTATGTTTTTCCTTTGCTATTGATAAAATGAATTCAATAATTTTGTTTACTTGTTGTTATATTTTGCTCTCTCTCATTAAAACCAAAGAGAGAGGAGAGAGAAATAGCCAATCCTAACGTGTTCTCAATTTGATTTTCGTTAATTTTTCGTCCGATCGAATTATTTCGTCCGAACTATTTGCTTCCTTTAATAACAAAGTCTCTCCCTATTTTTTCTGATTTAAAGTGTATCTCTCGTGCACTACGTTTGTGTAAATAGTGCACGGAATAGTGAAAATCTGGATGATTCAAATGTAATATGAAAAAAAAAGCGGACCGGCCACGGCATATAATGAAATGTATTTGAGTTTGTGTTATTGGATGCTGAAATGATTTTGAGTAGTTTAGCCGTTTGTTGCTGCTACTGACGGCTGTTGTTTTTTATTTTATTCTTATGTGATTTTTGTGTATCGTTATTATTGTTGTTGTATCGTTTGACTGTGGATTTTGTGTATTTGTTCATTACACATCTGTTTGTTGTTGTTGTTGGTTTTGAAGAAGCGTAAACTTGTTTATCCACAAGCATGATCGCGTCGTTGGAAACGTTTCATTCGTCGATACCAATCGTCTTTCCATTCAATGACTATTGAACGTGGCCCAATACCAACCGTACCTGAGGGACTTTCGATGTCTTTGCCCAAAATTAAATATGATCTAAATGGGAGACGGGAGAGAGACAAAACACAAATAAAGAAAATAAAAACGAAAAAAAAACCAATTCAACATTTCGTTCAATGACACATGAATTTATTTGCTGTGGTCGCATCGTACATGTTCACGCACGAAAAAAAGCAACAAGCACACATTCAATTGGGTGTGATGCGCTTTTGGCCATTGGTACATTCCGCACGCAATCGATCTATCGATATATTTATTATATCGGGCAAACGATAAAGCAGCCGGCAGTAAATAATTCCAATTTCCACAGTACAATGTTATTAAACGGGCCTAGCATTATCGCACTAGTTATCTGGCTTATGTACTTACCTATTTGCCTTGAGCTTTGGACAACGACATTCTAAATCTTTAGCCGATATAATTAAAGGTACGCTTTTTCGTACAGTTGTTGCGGCTGAATCTTGGGACTTTTTGAATACGGCCTGGATTTGGATATTGAATTTCGTCGATTGATATGGTGAATCCTTGGCATAGCGGCTCGGTTCTCGTTCAACAATACGACCCATGATTGCTGGTTATTTTAATTTTTTTTTTATTCGTTCAAGTCAAATGGGAAATTTATCACCGCAAGAAAAAGAGAAAAAAAAAATTAAAATTGAGTTCGTCTTTTACTGACTGGAAATAGTTTGAAATTAAATGTATTTTATTTTGAAAATGGTTTGAAAGTGGCATTTATTTCGATGCAAATCCATTATTCACTCACCATAATCTCGTTTGCAAAACTTATTCAAATTGAGCCGTTTCGTTCCGGATTTACACTTTCCGCATTCTAAATGGGGACAGAAAGGCAGTGAAATGAAAATACATTCACAAATATTATTATCATTAAATCGAAGAAATGCATGAAAATGACCAAGCCATAATATATAAAAGTTATTTGAATGAAAATGTTTATTTTCTTTTTGGGTCTTTTTTTCCTTCTTCGAAAAGAGACCTTACTTAGACACAAATTCATTTCGTATTATTTAAATACGGTTTTTGTGTGCAAATACTTTCTTTCTTTCACTCATTGAAAATTGCTCCGTTAAAATCCGTTTAAGCGGAAATTTTCATTCGTTTGTACGTTGTGTTTGTACTTTGAAGCAAAAAAAAAAACATGCATCAAATGAAGTGAAGAGATAATAAAAAAAGAAGTCGAAGAAAAAAGAGAAGAAAAAAACCCATATAGTAATCGAATTGTTATCTCACCTCGGCCGCTGCCACCTCCACCACCACCGTTGTCGCTGTCAGTTTGATATGGATCAGAATCATACTGTTGAACTTCTGGGGCTGTATTCTGTTGTTGTAATGCCGTAATTACACGCGGAATTTCTGTGCATTCAGTGGAAGAAGACAATGAAAGAAAATAAAGAGCATTAGAGTGGTGTTTATGGTGCAATTGCTTGCACAACACAATTCAAATCAGACCATCCATTAAATGTTCGCCTCAAAACACAAAATTCGATGCATAAAATCAATATATACATATATACGGTGCACAAATCTACAGTAAATTGCAAATGCATACTGGGCATTTTAAATTTTGTACAATAGCCTTGGCTCCTTGTGGCATATCGACAGACACGCTCCGATGGAGTAGTCCGAAAGGAAGCAATTGTACAAACCAAACCAAAAAGAGACAAAAAACCGAAAGAAAGAAGAAAATGCAATGAAACTTACTGATGCACGGTGTGATATGTGACCGACTTTGTTGATAGCCACGAGCACATCGATTACAAGTTAATCCAGTTACGCCGTCTTTGCATGGACACTGGCCCGATGTATGATTGCATGTTTTACCAGATGAACCAATCGGATGACAATCGCATGCTGTGTACACAATGAAACAAAAGAAAGAGAGAGAGGGAGAGAAAAGCACATAGTAATAATGGATCAGTTAAAATACATTTGGCCCGATGCTGCTGCCGTACTTATCCAGCAGCACCAGCAACGGTGTTTATTTTATTGAAATTCCGATTTTTCCGAACGAAAAACAACGCTCATATATGCGAAATGATAAAATATATAAAACGTCGCAATTTGTTACGGAGAAAATCGATAATGAATCGCTGCAGAGCAAAAGCGCCACGATTTCTTTCTGAATGAATGGATTTCGATTGGTCGATTATAGCCGATGCGATTCACTGTATTTATATTTGCAAAATATATAGAGAGATGTACTTACGTTTGCATACTTTGCGATGACCAATTGATTTGCTGGGATCACGGTAATAGCCAGCTTTGCAATAGTGGCAATGACGTCCAGTTGTTGCATGTCGACAATTCAAACAAACACCACCCGATACGCGGCCAGAAAGCTTGTACAATTCCATATTGAAACGGCATCGTCGCGCGTGTCCATTACAGTCACAAGCTACAGAAAAAAAACGGAAAAGGGAAGAGAAAAAAAATCGAAAATGAGATATACGCATATAATATATTAAAGTAGAGGTAAACATCAAAGATTTCAAATGATTTATTTTCACTGGTTAAACTGAATGAATGAGCACACACCCTGGCAAACTCAATTGAATTGTGTTTGTATGAGCGCGCGGCGAGAAGTAGAATGAATCAAAGGCAAGTGAATTTTAATCCACCATTCTTTCGATGCTGTCATCGTTCATTTGTTTGTTCTCATCGTAAATTATTTCGGCGATGCGGTTTACTTTAAATTAATACTAATGATAATGAATTAAATTCGAACAAGAAAATATATCACGACTCAACCAATTTTTTTTTTTTTGTTTGTTTTTATGTTGTGTCTTTTCTCTTCATTCTCTTCGTTCTCTTCTTCTCTTTGTTTTTGAGGCGAAAGTAAATCTGTCTGTGGAAATTTGAAAAATGGCTCAATGAATGATGGCAAAGCAACCACAGACCAACGAATAGAAAAGATACGGGAGAAAGAGAGAGAAACATAATAAAAGCACAAATACCAAGGGAACCACTCCGAAAATTGAACAAGTTTCAATTAACATCTCGAGAAAATTCAATTTCATCATTTTATCGTTGAACTGTAAAAGGTCTATATTTCATTTGTACTTATTATCGCTGTCGGATTGTGCGGTTTTGAATCAATACCATCAAGCTCAATACTCCACTTGAATCAAAATAAGATGAAATAAAATGTAAAATATGCGAGAACATGCTCTCTATCTCGCACATCGAATCCGATTTGTATTTACTTAAACGCAACGCATTCGTTGTGGCACAACACGAAGCATTGAAACCAAATACCCATTTCGAATAGAACATTTAAAACAGGAACGATGATGAAAATGATGTAATAATTTGATGTATCCATTACTGTGTTCAAGTGCGATACCTTTTACGATTTATGTATATGCGCTTTATGTATGCGTACATATGAGTGTTAAGTGTCTTGATGTAGGAAAAATAAGCAATGGAAACAGTCGACAACGACGATCTATAAATATCTACCTTTAAACGAATTATGTGGCAATATCAAAGATTTTGTTACGAGAGAGGAGCGAAGAGAGAGGAAAAACACAAAAAAAAAACTGAAAAGCCCTAATGAGCCTTTGTCGATCATGTTCATGTTATATTTGATTTCATGTTTCGGCCATTGCTCGAACGAAAAACATCATTTTTTGTGCTTCATTTTCATCATCTCACTAACAAGCCTTTCAGTTTCGATACCATCTTTTTCTCTCTTGCTCTCTCAGTGTGTCTTTTTGAATGAAGTTCTCTGTCGGTCTCAAATTTCAATGAAAACGAAGAGACACGTACAAAAAAAATAACTCAAGCATTTTCGATCACAGAATTTTATTCAGAGCTACTTGGAGCAGCTCTTTGATTGTCATTTCCTTGAAGTGTGGTTTGGTTTCAATTAATGTTGGTTAAATAGATTAATTAGATCGTGTACAAAGTGCTTCGATGTCATCTAATTATGAGAAAAAAAGATATTTCAAGTGCCAATGGCTCTTTTACTTCCAGTTCTTCTCATTTTTCTTTCCCCTCCTCCAAATGACCGACGACAATGCAAAGACGACGACCAATCAAATCGACATGTTGCTGCTGTATGCTGTCAGTTGGAAAAGAAATGATGTGTCATTTCATCAATAAAATTTAGTTTGATTGAAACCGTGGCATGCACTAACGATGATGAATTTCTTTGAGACCAACACATTAAAGATGCTGGTACATCAAAATGCATTATTATTGCTATATGTCATAAATTATATACGATTCGTTGTAATTTCGATGGAAATTACTTTGTGTGAAAGAATGATGTGGCACTCATGGAAAATAAAGTAATTTCATGCGCACGAGCTAATTTTCATATGAAATATGCATTAGACTAATAAATTCCTTTTGAATTGCCATCATTCTCTTTGTTGACCGTGTATCAAAGAGCCTCTCCCTCCCTCTCTCTCTCTCTCTCTCTCTCTCTCTTGCTGCACGGTTCTATAGCGAAAAATAGGAAGAGATATGCCAGAAATGAAATATATATTCAAAGTATTTTTCATTCAACAGAATTGAGGCGTAAGATATTTCTCTGCACTTACATTGTGTGCATTGGAGTTTTGAATAATTGTGCCCGGAATTCTTCCGGTTCAGAATCATTTCGAAAAACATTGTGCACATTCATGAGATTTGTGTGACTGTGTGACTTCGCAGTTGATTTGCATATAAAATCGTTGTTTATGCGTGTGAGCGTTCGTAAATCAGTTGGAATGACCAAAAATAACAGCAACAACAGCGGCGGCGACAGCAGTAGCACTCAATGGCACAACACAACAGCGCTGAACGTGAGAACGAAGCCAAATTCCAAAATGTGTACAATAAATTAATTTCCAAATGCACGAAATGAAAAGAATAAATAAGCTTAAATTTGTTCAATTTGCTGCCTGTCAGCCAAAACGATTGTGAATGAGAGCGAAAGAGATTTTCGGTGGAGGGCATGAAAAGGCACTTGAGTCAATAGAAATGAACAAATAAACCTCATCGTCGTCATAAGGAAAATTCCGCTCTGGCTCTCTCTCACACAATTCATTCTCTGGGTGTACGGCGCGTAATCAAGGTAATTCAATCACACAAAAATGTGCTTGTTTCGCTCGTTCGCCGAGTTTGCCTTTTCCGTTTTTCACACAATTCAAATATGTACCTAGTTCTGGTTTCTGGCGTGGATCTGTATCTGTATAATAATATTTTTTGTGTCTGTTTACTCTTGACATACACACATTCACATGCAAGATAAATGATTGGAATTGAATGCTGTTTCGATCACGATAGATAAAAACGCATGTAGGGAACGATTCAACTTTTGATAAATCAGCGTTGAACACAACGAAAAAAGAGAAAGAAAAACACGACACCATCATCACAAAACACACATAAATTCCAAAAATTGTGCAAACATTGAGGAACTGTTTTTTTTTATTTCACTTCGTTCGCTTAATTTTTTTTGTACATTTTTGTGCGAATCGATTGAGTCAATAGACTCAAAGTGAGTAAAAACAAGAACTATAGCAAAAAAGAAGCATTTTTTCGATAATTCCTTTGGATTTATCTTAAGCGGTTTTCAATCGTGGTTTGGCATCACGAAAAAAATGCTTCATGAATAAACGCTCGGATAAATCGTTGCCGATGTGTCATTTCCACATTTAGACACTGCACAAGTGTGATGAAAAAACAATGATTTATAATTTTCGCCTTGACAATAATCCGTTTAAATTAAAAATTCATAATCTTTGGTCGCCGTTTGAATGTTCAATTTATTCAATTTTTTTTTGGTTTCGGTAAGTTTGCGCGATTGTTTGTCATGTGTCATCGCTGCCATTATAGTTAGTAGCTGTATGACTTCGATTTTTTAACCGTTTCACTAAATTCGTTCCCACTCTCATGTCATTGTTGCTCTCTCGCATTACAGAGAGATCAGTTGTCGGTGTTGTTGTTAATACATTTTCCTGCTCAATATCTTGGGTAAAATACTAATTTATTTATGATGTTTGTTGAATGAGCGTGCGCTCGCGTGAGCGCGTACAAAGCGTGCTAGAATACTTGTTGACGTACTAATGTGCTATTAATTTTCATAAACAACACAAACCAAATTCAACAATTCCAAATATGTTGCGCCTTTTAGAGTTGGTATGTGTTTCAGTTTTTTTTTTCTCTTTCGTTTAGCATGAAGGAATTACGGTGGAGTATAAAATATGATCGCTTATAGTTAAGCAATTTTTTTCTTCGTTCGGTTTTTTTAAATTTCCATTTAAGGTCATAAATCACAGCACATGTACAAGCAATTTCATTTAGAAAAAAAACGCGTGGTGAAGTGAGCGAACAAACGAACGAAAAAAAATGTGTAAAAAGCCAAAGGTGTTAGAGGTTGTTTTGTGGCACGACACATGGTGCAAGTGTATGCATGCACCGCGAATATGCGGTTCTGATTTTAATAGAAAAAAAAGGAATATGAAAGGCAAAAACAATTCTGATGAATGATATTTTTTTCATTCGCCTCTTCCTCTTCTTCATCGTAATCATCATCATCGTGGCCGTCGTCGTATGTTGTGTTTGTTTTTCCAATTTTTTCCTCATTTTTAACGCGCGCATTTTCCAGGTCTTTTCGTTTGCATTCAAAAGAATATATGAATATGCGCGCATAAAAAACCAATATACTTCATTACGGACACACAAACATAAAGAGAATAGCACACTTTGGCACTAACGACCATACATGCAAATCATTTAAGAGCATGTATTAAAATATATATTTTTAGATAACATAGTGTGTGTGTATCTTTCTCTTTTGCACACACAAAATGCAGTATTTCAGTGAGTCTGTGTGTATCATGTATCGTTTCACTGATGCTGTTGCTGTTGTTGCCGCATATTCACTTGCCACGAGCTACTGTGAAATATTGTAATTAAGTCTGGAGAATTCATAGCGGTAATTATCAACGCCTTATAATATTTACAATATGAACCATGGAGTAAAACATATTGTACAGCAGTGGCAAGAACAGCAAATAGAAACAGTAGGAGAGCCTGAGATGAAATGCATCGTAAAGTATAAAGCAGTGAAAATGGTCGAAACAAATATCATCCATAACGTTGCACATTATAATAGTTTTGCACGACTTTAATATCGCATTTGCCAGATAGATGAGGTTTTTTTTTCTTTCGTATTCGTCCCCATCAGCAATAGCACAGAGCATAATGCACACACACACGCACATATAACTAAACGATATTAAATGAGTTGGCTGCATTTCACGAGTGCTTTGCTTCGCAAAAAACATATGAACATTTTCATTTTCAACTGTGAAAGAGAAATGACATTGCAAAAGCGACATTTAGTTCTAGGCAAAAATATTTGTGTGCATATTGCCTGTTATGCACTGAAATGAAATTCAA